AAATATAATTTTGCCTTTTTACAAATCAATAGCAAGATCACACCTTAAATATGCTGTGCGATTTTGGGAACCTGTTCTAAAGAAGGATATTATGGCACTAGAAAAAGGGCAGAGGCGGGCCACAGAATGAATAAAAGGAGGGGGGCGGAGCCTGACCACGAGCGGGAGCGGACGCAACACAGCACAGCTCCCGACCAAAACCCGCATCAAAGCCTGCTGTTTGAGGCTTAAAACCCTCAACTGACCCACTCCCGACCAGGGGCACCATTTGTACACAGCCCAGCATCCCCCCATGCCGTTTGTATATCCGGCACGGGTGAACCGACGAAAGCGCAGACCCGCGGCCTACAAGCCCGCAGCAGCCCTCGACTGGTCGGCGCTCCTGGGCAGACTTGAACAACCAGGGGACCCAGACGTGGAAGACCTCCCCACAGCACTCCCAACCACCCAGGTAGCAATGGGCCGCCGGTCCCAAAAACCTTCACCGGAGACGCCATCCAGGGACATAGGTACCATGCTGCAACAACGGCCGCCGGCCAAAATCGCGGGAACAGCGGAACATGATACCATACAGGTACCAAAAGACCCTATACTGCCTGACCTGTCCCCAGAAAGGCCACAAACGCCCATGGGGATTCCAGATGGGTCTGCCCCAGTCACCCAGCGGGACTTTCAACACCTAATTGGGGAAATCAAAAACCTCTTGGCAACCAGCATAGCAGCCATTAAAACAGATGTGAAGGCTATCGCTGACAGGGTGCAGTCCACGGAGAAGGATGTCTCTAGCATCAAGCTGGGATTAGCAACCTTACAGGACTCTGTACTGGCCCTACAGGCCCAACAACAAGCACTTTCTCTCCACTATATTGCCCTCGATGACAGGACAAGACGCAACCACATTAAGATCAGGGGAGTGCCAGACGCCATCACATCAGATGAATTGCCTCACTATTTGAGGCGCCTCGTGGCCGCCATCCTGCCGCCAACGCATGCTAAAAAATTTAACACAGACGGGATGTACCGCCTACCACCCTCAGGCAGAACAACCCCAAACATGGTCAGAGATGTGATAGTACGCTGTGCCACTTCCCAAGACAAGAGAGTCCGGATGACGGCTCTTCGGGGCAAGACGCCACTAAACTTTGAGGGCGCACAGCTCACCATTTACCAAGACCTCACCAGATCCACGCTTCAATGGCGAAGATCGCTGAACCAAGTCACCAGCACCCTCAGAGAAGCGGGGATAGAATACCACTGGAGATCTCCCAGATTCCTTGTGGTCACACATAACAGAACTGTCTATAAACTCTCCACACTTACAGAGTTCCCGGCATTCTGTCAGGCACTGGGCCTTCCAGCACCCATGCAAGACACCAACCAACGATCCACACCGGAGGCCTGACTCCCCCAAGAGCCGCAGAGGCATCAACAACCAAGACACGCACTGTTCAGCTAAAGATGTGATGTTTTTTTTTTTGTTTTTTTTTAGTTAATCTTGAGCTATACCCAGTTTATCTGTTTCCCCATCTAAAAGGGGAAAAAAAAGAAAAAAAAAGAAAAAGAAAAAGGAAAAAAAAGAACGTCCGCTCCATATCCAGTCCCCCCCCACCCCACCGAGGTCCTCTCGGACTAGGGGTTCGTTTTGAAGAAGGCCATAACTCTACAATCCGACAGGGTTGCATGTAAGCCCATCCCTACCATACAGCCTTTCTCCCGGAGCAGTTCACACACTCCTGATACTGTGCCAATGCTGGTCCACACCTTCTGTGACTAACTAATGTTCACACACTGTTGATCACCTTATATTGCAATATATGAATAAGTGTACCGTATGTTTATTGTGTTTCAAGACCCGCATGGGTACGATAAAAAAAAAACAAAAAAAAACCAAATTTCAATAAAAAGAGATTGACAAAAAAAAAAAATTAATAAAAGGAATGAAACATTTTAGTTATGAAGAAAGGTTAACAAATTTAAATCTGTGTACTTTAGAAAAACCCACCTCAGATTATACAAATATATTTGGTCCAATACAAACCATTGTCTGGAAATCTATTCATAAAGAGGACTATACATAGGACATGAGGTGAGGCATTTAGACTGGAAGAAAGAAGAATTAGTCTAATGAAAAAAAAAAAATATAACAGTAAGAATAACGATATTGATTTTTTTTTTTAAGCTGAAGACTTTTTTTTCATTGTTTGTACAGATGTTTAACCCCTTAAGGACACATGACGGAAATATTCCGTCATGATTCTCTTTTATTCCAGTCCTTAAGAGGTTAAACAGCAACTGTAAAAATACTTGCATAAAATAGTCAGAGTTATAATTTTTAATTTGTTGGGTTATCACTTCTTGATCCAAGGAGAGATCACAATACCATTTTGGGGTCAAGAAGGATTTTCTTTTCCTAATGTGTTGGAAAATTGGAAAGCACTTCAAACAGAATGTGAGAAAGGCTGAACTTTAAGAACGCACATTTTTTTCAGCCTGTGTACCGATGTGTATTGCGCCCAGATATATTTATGTTGTGCCCAGCTGGTTTTATTGTATAAGTATATATATGTGATATGTTCAGCTCTCTATATTGTAAGAGTATCTCTGTACTGTATAGGGAGGATTAAAATTCTGGGGAAGAATCAGACACCCCATTATCTTAAAATTTCACCAGCTGCCACTGCCTAGAACGTGAGGATATGGGATACACCAATGCAGACCAATTCCAAGTCTATCGCCTACACAAAGTGTCTACACACATAATAGAGAGATGTGGGATATATGAGGTTACTGAGCACTACTCTCAAATAGTTACACATGCATGTGTTAATTATAACTATCCTAAAAGCTAAGTATTGTAGACAGCAGTTATGTTAACAACACTTCCATGAAAGAAAGCAACGTTATCTTTATACACGTTTATGGTTATGTTGACTATGCAGGGCAAGGGTGGGTTGATGCTCCCCAACCCCAGTGGTGATATATTCCTTCAGGAGTGAGAGTATGTCACCCTATCTGGCAAATAATAAGACCAGATGGATTGCACTACAATACATTTGTATTTTTATTGTTATATCCCTTCTCCCCCCTTTTCATTTTTGTTTGCTGTCTGAGTATACTTTAGAGTGGAACCTGGGAGTATAGCCCTGAGGAATGCTACAGATTGAGAGGATAACCCTGCCAAAGAGTTGCTCAAAATACAGCATCTAGACAACACCTTTAATACAGATTACCCATCTAGAGAATGGTGGTCCCAAAAATTACCTCATTAAACTTTAAAGGAATTAATTTCCCTAAAAAGAGACGACTGTTGAGAAAAACGCGACAACTCAGATATAGACTAAATTAAAGAGATGCACCTTCTTTGGGTGCCCACTGTCACCTTTACTATTTGCTCTATCCCTAGAGTCTTTGCTACATGCCATAAGAGTACATCCCATTATTAGAGGGGCAGAGATAGTGCAGCAAAAAAAAACAAAAAAAAAAACACAGTCTGAAGCGCTTCCAATTTTGCAACAAACTAGGAAAAATTCCTTCTTGACCCCAAAATGGCTGTCAGATATCACCTTGGATCAATCAGCTATTACCCCACTAATTAGAAGTTATATCCTTGTATGCTAAGTTTTTGGAAGTATTTCTCAAATTGATGTTTAAACATCTGTATGGACTTTGATAAAACCACCTCTCCAGGCAGAGAATTCCACATCCTAATAGTTCTTACTGTAAAAAAAACAAAACCTTTTCTTTGCCTAAGATTAAATCTCATTTCTTCCAGCCTAAATGCGTGACCTAGTGTCCTTTTGTATAGCGCTGTTTATGAATAGATTTCCAGATAATGGTTTGTACTGGCCCCGAATATATTTGTATAGCGTTATTATATCCCCTCTGAGGCGCCGTTTTTCCAAACTAAAGAGATTTACATTTTTTAACCTTTCTTCATAACTAAAATGCTCCATTTGCTTTATAAATTTTGTAGCTCTGCACCTTTTCTAGTGTAACGATATCAGTCTTTAGAACAGGTGCCTAAAATTGCATAGCATATCCAAGGTGTGGTCTTACCAGCGATTTACAAAGAGGCAACATTTTATTTTCATTCAGAGAATTTGTCCCTATTTATACATGACAAAACCTTACTGACCATAGCAACTGCAGATTGACATTACATATTTCTGCCTAATTTGTGGTCTATAACAATTCTCAAATCCTTATTGTGTGTTGAGACATTTCAGAAAGGTCTAATAACTCTTACTATAGGCACACCTAAGCTCCAATTCACCAGAGTGGGGAAGACCAATGGGACAAAGAACCAGGGTCAATTCTAGAGTGGACAGACTGGATAGCAAAAGAAAAAACAAAAACCTTAATCTGTGTTAACCTACATGAACACATATACAAAATGATGATCGGATGGTACACTGCCCCAGTGAAATTATTCCACATGAAGAAATCTTATTTTCAAACTGTAATATCTATGGAAATATGTGGTGGTTTGGCCCTAAAAAGCAGTTTCTGGGAGAGTATTAGGGACCCATTGTAAAAAGGTATTTTTGCAGTTGCTATATAAATAATAAAATATTTATTTGCTATCCAAACCGATGGAAGGGGGTCACATACAACAGAACAAAACCTATTTAACAAAACATTAGTAGCCAGGAGAGCAGTAACACTGAAGGCATCTCTATGCAGATGGTTCTAAGATAACTTTGAAGGATAAACCCACCACCAATTTAGAAACAAACTGCCATCCTACGGCAAAACCTGACAACCCTGGGAGAATTTCTCCCCCCCGCGTGTGGAATCACTACAGGTAGGCTGAACGTGAAGTCTCTTTTCAGCTATGTAACTTCTATTTTGAGCAACTTTGTGTCATTTTTCCACTGGGTCCTCCTGTTAAAAGGCAGACTAATGTTAAGCCAGAGTAAATCTATTCAAGTTTTCTTAATACATATATACACACACAAACAATATCCATGACAGCACTTAATAAATGCAGAGATAGCAAATCCTTTTCAAACAAGCTTTTAATGAAAAGATCATAAAACAGTTTTTTTTGTTTTTTTTATCACTGTACATTAAGACTGAAAGTTTCTTGAATGTTCAGATCACCAGAATCTTCTGTATCCTCTTCTTTTTATTTATATGACACTTGTGTGTGAGATGCTCCACAGAGCACTCTAACCTGAATAGAAAATCCATGAGAAGACTTGGGAGCAGGAGGTGCAATTGGTTAAAGAATATTAAGGGCAGTGTATAAGATCCCTCCCCATGTCTCTGCATTCCAGGGATATACTACCCAGTGTTCATAATGTTACATTCAATTAAAGGATGGATAGAGAAAGAAGCATGTTTGCTAGTAATGTCAATAGGGTAATACCCAATAACGGAAATTCATCTTCATTAGCTTATGTCAAAAAACAGGGCAGCATGGTTTACTGAAGAAGTGACAAAAAGTATTCTTGGCAAAGGCATTATTTAAACCTAATGAGTTCTATTTTAGTGCAGAGTGTGAACGCGTACATACACACACACACACAAATTAGCCTTTTTTTTTTTTTTTATCTGAGGTTAGTGATTCATTATCCAGCAACTGAGTGAACTCTTGCTCAATAAGAGAACACCTCCCTGGCAAGATTCTTAGAAACAAGACAGGTGTAATCCGCCTTCTTTCCAGGAATCACGGTCACACAACATGCTCCAGCATTCAAAGGTATGCCCAGAGAAGCTGCAAATCCCTTTTCGTGCCAAAGAAGCCTGTGACTTTTACTCTGGTTATTCTAGGGTTAAAGATTCTTGGCACAAATTAATCCTGGCAGTGTCAGAGTGGAAGCATTGCCAAATAACGCTTACCTCTCTCTCACTTTCATACAAATTTAATCCAGTTATAAACTACACTGAATGCAGTCCTAAACTTTCTGTGTTTCATAACTATAAAATGGGGTCTTTAAATTTATGCAAATTGTATTTTACTATGAAAACTGAACATACACTTTTCAATTTTGAGGCAGCACTGTGAACATGCGGCAATTTAGATTTCATTTTTTGCATTGCTAAAATATCATGTTAACCTAAAGAGTCTAATAAATGTTTGGGTAGGAGACATTAAAACATATGTTTACTTCGTCCAACAGAATTTGTGAACTCAAAATTTGCTTGCCAAACCACCATTCGTACTGCAATATGATTTACATTGACTGCGTCAGAAGGATAGCTCAAGGAGAATTACTACACGGCTCTATTGTTTGGCAAGTGAATAGGCTACATTTATATCAGACTAACAGGGTAATCCCACAAAAGTGAGAATTCAAAATGGATTTCAAATCTAAGGCCAAAATAGCTTTACTGAAAAAAAAAAAAAAGAAACAAATTCAGCTATTTTCCCAGTACGGCTTCTTTTGCCTTAGATTTGAATATTCGTGAATAACCCTGTAAACCAAACATGATCTTAAAACAGTCTTTACGGAGCTTGTTCCAGAATAACATTATTTTACAATTAATGAGAAACAATGAAGCCTACTGTCAGATTCACCCTATTTGTGTTAAAAAATATACCACTGTTTTGAGAGTGATCATGAGTTCTACAGTGTATCTGTGGGAAATAAACGTATCTATTTATCCAATGTGTTCGTAAAATTACAAGCATATTCAGTAAAAGAATAAAGTGAGGTTTTATTTCTATGAGAGCAGTAAATATCTTGTGCACTACAGTCATACTGTGTGGTTTTCAGAGTTCATTTAGGTGTTAAAGGAACATTTCAAGCATCCTAACCAATACAGCACACTGTAGTGGTATGTAGTAGGAGTGCCCGGTGCTCCCTACTGTAAGTAAATCAACCTGTTTTTGAACCTTCTAACTACTTGTGCCCGCCTGGTGCCACTTCCTGTCTTCACTACCAACACTGCTAAGCTGTAAGTTCCTAAGCAGGAACATTCATTAGCGTTCCTGAGCTACGTGGCTTCGCTCATTGACAAAGAGCATCAGCTGATTGCTTTCAACTAATGAGCTAAGCCCTGAACTACTGACACGATAAACACTACAATGTTCCTTTAAAAACAATATTTAATTTTAAAGAGTTATGTGACTATTACACAAGTTGTAAATGTTAGGAAAATTGTCATTTTAACTTCTCAATCAAATAAGTTTTAAAACATGGTGTTCATTAAAGAACCATCACATTTCACTCAACTCGTAAACCGTACTGAAATGTTTATTGGGGTGAGGACTGCATCAGAAAAAAGCATAAAATATATTTCCCTCCACAAAACCATTATCTTCCCATAATGCCAGCGCTTACATGCACATTCTGTGTCATCCACTCTTTATACCGTGTGTGCGCGCGCACACACACACACACACACACACACAGCGACACTTGACATTATAGCTTTCTTAATGTGTCTGCCTGTTCACATATATTCCCATGTGCCAAGCGTCATAAGCTTTCAAAAATTTAGACTGAGGCTGTCACAGCACATCCTAGCATACAAACATCACAATTCCTTTACCAAGATATTGGGTTGTGTATGCATAACATATTTAAAACAAAAACAAATTCAAACTCTATCCATCCTCAATTAATCATCTGATTGTGTTCCGATTACCATTGTTTATTTTTCTATAACACGGACAACTGGACAGAACCATTCTCTTTATCAAAAGTTCACCTCCTGCATCTCAAGCACTGAAGGAATTATCGCAACGTTTTCCAAACACATGTAAACAGGGAAGAGAGTAGTGGGGTTGGAGGGGAATAAACAAGGACATTTATAACAAGTGAAACAGATGGCATTACAATATTAAATAAAAGCAAAAATATAAAGAATAACAGAAGATATCCAGTATGAAACAGAAGAGCTACATAAAGTCCTGTTTGGTGATTTATGGCTATCTTTTGAGTCTCTGAGGATAGTTAGGTTCTTTTTTTTATTATATTACAATGTTTTTTTTCTTTCTGAAGTCCTGTAGTTAGACACCTTCGCTGCCACAGACACCCTGCAAAATGGCACAAGGCCTGGTGGCAGGAAAGAATTGCAGTCCTACGTGCAAATCGTTCATCACTTTCCATTTACAAAGGACCAGCAAAAAGGGGTTAAGAATGTTAAATATCACCCCCCAGTCGTCGTCCCCCCGCCCTCTAGTTGCACGCAGAGTCTGTGAAATAAATACATTCAGAACTGCACATACATAGTGAAACAATACAAACACTGCAAAAGTCTGCACCATCTTTGATTAGTTCTTTAAGAGCAGGCAAAATGAATGACTTAATTTTCCATGGGTTGTTTCTTTTTTGTGAACCTCACGTTTGTGTTCAGATCAGTTAGTGATTAAGAGTTTACTAAAAGTGGACGGGCTATAGGGTGTAATCATTCAATGATGAGCAACATGATCAGTTATACATTCCTTATATAAAATCAACAGCCCATCGGGTCTATGAAAAAGAGTGGGGGGAAAAAAATTAAAACACATTGTGTGCGTCACAAGAACAAACTGTACTTTTAAAAAATATATATAGGTAAACTCATCATATTTGTGAAAACAAAATTAAGCACAGATACACACCAGAAAAAAAATAAAATAAATTAAAATCAGATATGTGATATTTCATCTATGCAAATACCTAGATTTTAGTGTAAAGGTCATACTTACTGTGGCTCTGCATTATAACTACAGACCAATTTAAAAACAAAATCTTACTGTGTGCACAGTGAAAACTTTACATTTTAGATCAGGTGATAAAAACTCACCAGCAATACATCTCTACAAAAATTGGAAAATGCTAAATTGGCCCCACGCATATTACAGAGATGTACATCCCATTACACTTTCAAAGAAAAAAAAATAAAAGATATTTCCAACAAAAATAGATTTTAGCCCATGGTAAATTGAAATCAGTTTTGCCTGGCCTGTCAATGAGGTCTGAAACTGCAAATATTTATGTAAACAATGAGATATAAATAGTCCATTTGTTGTTTTTTTTTTCTGAGCTCAGTTGGTTTATTCAAAATGTGCTTTGGTTTAAAAAATAGTTTATGGATTTGGGTACAAGCTTTTTTTTTTTTTTTTTTTAGGTTTCTGATTTTATAATACATCCTTATTTATACATTTTTAAAAATGGTTGTCTCCTGTTACTCCGAAAGAAAAAAAAAAAAATTGTCAGGAACTCAAGCGTTTTTCGCTGCCTGCCATATTACATTGAGAAATTGCTGCATTTCATGTTTAACAGCAGGTTTCATGTATGCTGAATATATTTCCCTATCCCTCCCAACCCCTTCTACCCAGGTCCCAAAAACCTCCCAAAACTCTTACTTTTTTTTTTTTTTTTAACTTTTTTTTATATGAAACTAGTGTTTTGCTTTTCTCATAAAATACAGAAAATGTTTGATACAATACTATGTCATAGAAATGTGGCTGAAAGTTTGATGCCCAGAGGTAGCCAGTCCCTGATGTTTGAGAAATATTGTTAATGTTGTCACAGTTTGGAATTTTTTTTCCTTTATATTCAGTCAATATAACACATACCACAAATCTACATAGCTTAAAAAAAAGAGAAAAAAAAAAAAGGTAAAATACTCCACTATACACAGACTTTGTGTCGATAAGTGCCGAGAAAAAAAATTCAAATAAATCATGCCTATATTAAAAAAAACTAAAATAAAAAAATTATATATATATATATATATAAGAAAAATTCTGGGAGTTAAGTTTCCAATCCTTATGGGGTGAAGGTGCAGTTTGTATCATCTCTCGCTAAAAAGGGTATATTTCTAAAAGTCTTTAAAAATGTGTATAAGCAATGGCTAGACAGTGAGGTGTACCAATTTTTGGTATCAAAAGATTAAACTATTTTAATATAGAAAACAAGGTAGGAGAATAATCTCCCAAAATAACAAGCACAACTCATGCCAACACTTTTGCTTCTAGAGAGTTGAAAAAACTATAGTGCAGCTCTTCCAAAAGCAAGCAGAATATTTTAGAAAAATAAGTGATCATGTCAGGGAAGTAACCTGGAAAATGTACAAGTAGATTGGGGGAAAGAGTAGGGTAAAAAAATAAAAAAAAATAACTGAAAACAGATAACCAAGTCTGATTTTGAAAATCTTAAATTTAAGATTAGGTCTTTCCTCCAATCATTTTGTGGGTGGTTGCCAAGGGAGAATAACAAAATGTCAGACTGTAAGAATATATTTTTAATTTGTGGCCAACACCTCTGCTGCTCTTCATTGCCTAACCTTCCACTGCCCAATTCATGACTAGATATTAAAAAGTGCATCCCAACTTTGATAAGTTTTTTGTTATTTTTAAATGATGGCCTTGAGCTCATTTGTCACTCATGTTAGATGACTTTAATAAAAAAGTAAAATAACAACCAAAGCTATACAGGTCAAACCTAGGTGAAACCCAATCAGTCAAGAGAAGAGCCATACATGGCCTGTACTCTGGGAATTATTTCAGCAGATGGAGATTGTATTAAACAAGTAAATTGTGATGTGGATCACTATCTTTTCCTAGTATTTATGAATGCGACTTCTGTATTTTGACAAGAACAAGTAATTAAAATAGTTTATTTCATTTGATTACTAGCTCTTAAGCAGGGTTGGAGAAAAAAAAAAAAATGTTTGTTTACGCTGTTGTATTTAAGGGTAAACTTCCCATTCCTCCCCAGTCAAAAACAAGATGGAAACCCCAACCCTCCTCTCCCCCCTCCCCCCCCCAAAAAACCTGCAATGTACATTCAAATTTCTGGTGTTCTGGCAAGTTATGGGAAAACACACACACACACACACACACACACACACACGTTTATATCACAGCCAACACTTCCCATTAGCTTGCCTAACTGCAGATAAAATGTCATTGCTTAATCATTGCATATTACTGTGGCATTTTAAGTTTTTATAGTTTTTGTTACAAACAAATCATTCAGACAAGACGGAGCTCATAACAACCATATTCATATGGAAACAAATTTAAATTAAAAAAGGGGGTGGGGGGGAGGGGAGATGAGAACAAAAACAACAACAAATGTATCTCCCAATACATAAACAAAGCTGAAGAAGAATATATCTTGTGCGACACAATAAATGGCATCCTATTTCTTTAGTATTGATTTTTTTTGGTCATAAACAAACAGCAACAAAAGCAAAACAAAAATACCCACAAAAATTAAATAGATCATTTTAGCGATATGGTATTGGGGGTGTTAATGTAAACTACCATCAACACCAACCTGCTCAAAGCTGGAAGAAGGCATTGGAGTTCTTTAAGGAAGCTCTCGATTCTGGTGGTGGTAGAATATGAACTGCCTACAGTGCAGGTGTGAGGGGGAGAAGGTAAATATAAACTTTGGTTAAGAATTATCCATTTAAATTTTCTCCAAAACATATGCCATAACAGGGAAAACCCACAAAGAGCATTTCCCATAACAAGTCATCTCATTTTTATTTCTAGCCCATGGAGACCCTTTTCTGACATAAAATGTAAGCATAATATGCTTATCTAGACTTAATAGCCTGTTGTCAGTGACCATACATGGTTTCCTCCTAAAATACACATGTTACAATTACAACTCCTGCTGCATCACAGGATCCATCCTCTGATTAAATAAACTAAAGGTGAGATATATATGTTAAAAAAAAAAAAAAAGAATTGAGCCTTTTCTCAGCTTACAGTTAAATTGATCATCAAATAATTTCCAACTGAAAAAGCCTTTAACCACTCAGTTCAAACTCATATGCCATTAAAAAAACACCACATTTGTAACTGCATCAGTTAGTTTTAGGTACAATTATGCTCTGATAGGTTAAGAACACCTTTTACCCAAGTGAAAACTAGATTACTTAGAACGGCATCAAAATTCTAAACGTCAAGCAAGAAGACTACATTGTCTGCACCAGCATGGCAACATAGGGTACTTTGTTTGATAGTATTTCTTTGGCCTATTTTTATTTTTGGGGGGCGGGATAAAGAGCAGAGCTTTGGCCATAAACAGGGTTGGGCGGTTGACGTTTCCTTATACAGTCTGCTTTTTGTGCCTTTTTAGGCTTGTCATTTAATTTAAATCTTCTAAATTTATACATTAACTTACATTGGTGATAGGGGGGTGAATACATAAAGATCTACAGCAAAAGCATCTTATTTAAGAGGTAGCAAATAAATGACCAGTCCGTAGCATCCCTCCACCGTACAGCTTTCTGCACAGAGCATGCGACTGGTTGACAAACATACAAACACACACACACACAAAGAAGAGTGAGTACCTTGTAAAGACAAAAACATTTGCCTGAACAGCTATTTGGTTCTATGAGCTTTGCTTCCAGAAAAACTCTACTGGCCAGTCTGGCAGCAAAGACGATTTGTTTTTCCTTTCTAAATTGGAGCAATTACCAGTGCCCGGCTGTCCTAATACATTCAGGGTAGGACATATAATGCTATATTTTGGCACTGGCAGCATCCTACAGCACTGATAGGGTTTTTCAATGTACACATGAAGAGAAAAGGCTAGAATCCAACCTCCATCACCCCCCCAAAAAAAAAATATTACCCCAAAACTTCCAGTTCAATAATTCACAGATTCAAGAGGAAAAAAAATAAAATAAGCCCAGTCTTCCACAACCTAGAGACAAGTACCTATAAGAGACAGGAATATAAAACAGGGGTGTAGCCTAACATAACAGAACTGTACTCCCTCCCACTAGTTCACATGGGTGCAACTTGTAAAACAAAAAACATTAGTTTCTAGTCAGTGTTGAACGAGTTTTAATTGAGGTTGTTAAAGAAAGATAATACCAAGAAGGAACATGCAAACTATTCACAGCCATGAAACACCAAGAGCCCCAGAAATGTGCCAGCCAGACTCCAGCTATCTCTGCACTGGTGTATGAAAGAGGCACCCTGGCATGGACCTATCTAGATGCACCCAGTGATAAATGTGGGAGGGAGTTGTGAGGTTTTCTTGGTTTTTATATGATAAACAGGAGGCCAGCATCTCCTCAGACTGGACAGATGTAGGCAGTGCCAAAATGCAGAAAGGGATAGTTGCTGAAGGGCACAGAGTAATATGCCACAGGCAATAATATACATTTACCCTGCCCCAAATTTGCCTCACCACCCTTTAAACCACAACCAAAGACCTGACTGCAAAAATATATATTAAAAAAAAAAAACACAAACATGGTGCTTCCCTGCATATAAGAACTAAAATTATAGTTCTGCCAATATCATGCAGGTACAGTGCAGCCATTACTTATGAACAGGGACCTTGAAGTCTTTGCGTAGGTGCTGAGAGAATGGAAAGTAAAAGGGGTTAAGGGTGACTGGGATTTCATGTTTAAACTCTAATGAGTTTCACGGAGGGAAGCGGAGATGAAACATATCATAGACTTCCTCTGTACCTTAAATTGAGATGCCACAGTCATTAATTACATGTTAAAGCTCAGATGAGACCTTACACCCCCCTCTTTACCATCTCTGAGACAACCTAACTGGAAAACAGGGTACCCTTAAAGCAGCAAGTCATAAGGAAGGTAAATTGGTTTGTGTGTGTGAGTTTGTGTACAAGAGAAGCACATTCTTAGGATGTCACATAAGTCTTTGGTTTAGGATGGGGAGGTGTGCATACGCAAATGACTTATCAAATTGCGCTGCTGGGTGAATTTCCCCCCACAGAGCTGACATTCATAGGGCTTTTCCCCTGAGTGGACCCGCATGTGCTCAGTCAATCGATATTGCCTGGTAAAGCGCATTCCGCACTCTTCACAAGCAAAAGGTTTGAGCCCCAGGTGGCTCCTCATGTGGCGGGTCATGGTGCCCCGTTGAGTAAACATCTTGCCACAGATGTTACAGGGGAAAGGACGGGTCAGCCAGTGTGTTTTCTCATGCTGTCGAAGTGTAGCTGGATCCTTGTAGCTCCTCTCACACACTGAACATTTAAATGGCCTTGACTCAGTAGGGAAGGTGGTATTTGGAGTGGACAGGTCCTCTGCTTCCTCTTTACTGTACGAATCCTCCTCTTTGATATATAGCTCCTCTTCGGTGTGTGTTTCCACATGGGCATTCAATTGCTCAGAGTTAGGAAAACCTTTCCCACATGGAATACACACATATAGATTATCACCAAATGGCACAGTCTCAAAACCTTCCTGACGATATACATAATTGGCGCTAGGATGGCCACTGCACTCATTCTCACTATGTCCACTCTCCTCACTGTTGTCCTTGCCATTCTCCATATCTTCTTTGCACTGGAAAGTCTGGTCAGAGCTGTAGACACCTCCAGAAATCCTTTCCTTTGACAAAGGTCCAACAATTACTCCATTGGGTATTGTCCCATCTCCTTCCTCTACAGGCTTCTCCCCTTCACTCCTGTCCCAATCTTTTAGACGGGAGACGTGGCGGAGATTTTTCTTTGGCCCCGCTTCACAATGGTTCTCATCCACTTCCATCGATTCATTGACATCTCTTTTCTGGAGGCCAGACTCATCGTATGAGGCACAGTTGGTTACAGATGCTGAGGCAGACTGGGGGGAGCCTGTATGGCTGTCTGAATGCGTACCTTCATCTTGTCCAGGTAAAGATGGGCTTTTTTTGGAAAGGTCAAGGCCAAGATCCTGGTCGCTTCCATTAGTGCTGTTATTGAGGCTATTGTTGCTTCCTGTACCTCTATTTAAAGGGTGGCTGTTGTCCTGCTTGGGTGTGCTGAGAAATACCTCCTCTTCTGGCCCAGTACCTTTGGATAAGTCATTTGAATGTGTTTCCTTGGTGCAGTCGGTGGACCCGGAAAAGCGCATGTGAGCCAGTGTAGGAGCAGAGAGTCTGTGACTCCTTCCCATCCTTCCTATACTAGGTACTCCAAGCTTCCCAACAAATGGCTTTCCAGCACGCTTGAGTTTCTTACGGCATAGAGCTGCCAAGTCATGGAGTTGGAGGTAGCTTGCTGCAGTGAGCAGAGCATTGAAGTTTTGCTCTCCTGGCTGGTCTGCGGATGTTAACAGTTTACCAGTGTAGATGAAGTCCAAGATTTGACGGAAAATTGATGGGTTCACCATGTCCGTATCCAGATTGATCAGGTTATCATGGAGAACAAGGGACTTGAAGTACATGCTGCTGGCAGCCAAGATGTTCTTGTGGGCTCGGAACAGGGCATTTTCTACAACAATAATTACATCACAGAGGAAACCTTTGGCTCGTTGCTGGTTCAGCTGAAGCAGCAGTTGTTTGGCATGGTTTGGCAGATCCATTTCCACCGTATCTTTTAATGTGCTTGGCCTGAAAGACAATAAAAGAAAATATAAATAAATAATAAAAATAATACATTTTTGAAAATATATTTTTAAGACATATAAAAAAAAATTAAATCGAATCTTAACCTTAAATATACAGCATGATGGTCAGTCAGCTACAGCATTCTACTTATAAAAATATTAATTTATATATTGAATGAAAATATAGTAGTCCAACAAATATTTCCCAGGGAACAAACATGTAAATCTGCTTTAGTAAATTATTGTTTAGCTATAAAAGCCAGACAACAAAAATCTGTTTTCCCATTTCTAAACAAAGCAATTCTTTCCCAGCTCCGATATAATTTTTGAAAGTAAAATCTTGGACATGCCGTTCATCTTGGACTCAAATTCCTATATTTCGGTCAGTCACTTTCAGATATGTACAACAACTAACTGAATAATCCGTATGGAAGCAAATACAACAGTTCAAGTGAATGAGTTCTAAAGATTGCAGTGATCAATACTTAATGGGGTTCAAATTCAAGAAGAGGCGCAATTTCCTTAAAAATGTTTTGAACATGCCTTGCATGTTTTGCGGTCTCCTTTTTCACTATTCTTTTTTTTTTGTTAAGTTTAAAAAGTAAAATTAAATGCAGAAACCTATTTCTCCATGGCACTGATGTTAACCTACACCTGAATTCTCCAGACCAGCAAACTGCTAAAACTTCAGCTTTTATAGAGGTGGTCACACTTGCTAATTAATCAATTAACCAATCAAGAGCATTTGATTAGCAGCATATGTCTGCTACTTAGCCTCTTACTTCCTATGGAAGCAGTAACTGTGTACCCTATTTTAACCCACACACGTGACACGGTGTAATAGGTCATGTGGTGTTCTTCATTTGGAGGTTTTGTTTAGCCAATTTTAGGACCTGCCAAGAAAGATTATTGTTATGTAAAACCACAGATTTCAAAGAGGGGATACTTTCTATTTAACATGACTGAAGATAGATCGATAAGTATACACACATAATTAGTAAACAGAATATAATGGGACATGAGAGCTCCTCTTTAAGGGCCAATGCTATGTCAGGTATGTCAAGATAGAAATGGCTTTGCCTACACCAATCATTAAGGGATTAAAGCAACACTATAGGCACCCAGGCCACTGGATATCATTGAAGTGCTACCTGTCCCCTTAAAAACAGAGGCAATTGTCCAAGTTCTGAACCAAACCAAAAACTTAGAATTGAGCTATAGGTCTGCTCAACCATATATTTACCCCTTTCATGTCAAGTGCACCCACATGTCTATGCTAACAGAATGCTTGGTTGTATAGGGAGAGATATTAGCAGTAGAAAGAGGGAAGTGCTCATGCCATTGTACAGAACACTGGTGAGTCCTTACTTGTAGTATTGTACGCTGTACTGGAGACCGCATCTCCAGAAGGATATTGATACTTTAGAGAGAGTTCAGAGAAGGACTACTAAACTGGTTCATGGATTGCAGGATAAAAACAAAAAAAAAAAAAACACTTATCAAAAAAGGTTAAAGGATCTTAACATGTATAGCTTGGAGAAAAAAAAAAACGAGACGGGGGATATGATAGAAACATTTAAACACAAAGGGAATCAACACAGTAAAGGAGGAGACTATATTTAAAAGAAGAAAAACTACCAGAACAAGAGGACAGTCTTAAATTAGAGGGGCAAAGGTTTAAAAATAATATCAGGAAGTATTACTTTACTTGGACACCTTCAAGTGGCCACTGGAGGTGTTTCCTGGGTCAGTGCTGCCAAAAAAGCAGCCCTGATGTTCAGCATCCCCACGCTCTGCATGGAGACACTGAATTTACCTCATAGAGATGATTCAATGCATCTCTACAAGGAGGTCCTGATTGGCCAAAACTGCATTTGGCCCCGCGCGGGATTAGCTAAAAATCGGCCATTTCGATGATGTCACAAAGGGGGAGCGGAGCACATGCCGGCAGATCCGTGCGGCGCGTTTTAAACATTTACAGAAGGGATAATGGCGAGTTAAAAAAAACCTATAGTGCCAGGAAAACACTTGTTTTCCTGGCACTATAGTGCCCTGAGGGTGCCCCCACTCCCGCCGGGCTGGATGGAGAGGAAGGGTTTAACCTCTTTCTCCAGCGCCGGGCGGGGAGCTCTCCTCCGGATCCTCTCCTCCCTCTTCTTCTGTCACCGGCTGAATGCGCATGCACGGCAAGAGCTGCACGCGCATTCAGCCAGTCCATAGAAAAGCATTCACAATGCTTTCCTATGGACGCTGGCGTCTTCTCACTGTGAAAATCACAGTGAGAAGCGCGGAAGCCCTCTAACGGCTGTCAATACAGTTGTCCGAACTAATTAACAACTTTTTTTTTAAAAGAACACAAAGACTTCCAAGGATACAAATTTTAAATAATGATATAAATAGGTAAAATTAAGCTTATATTTATTAGTATTGCCAACAAATCCACTTCACACACAGTCCGCTGAATACATACACGCGCACACAGTCCGCTGAATACATACATGCATTGAGGGGTGCAGTGTATGTGTTTGTATGTGAGGGGTGCTGTGTGTTGAGGGGTAGGGGCGGTAAAGAAAAAAAAATAATAATAATTTGATCTTTTAAATTTTGGGGGGGAATAATTTTCTCTTCTTTCTGCCCTTCCTTCAGGACCCATTTTTTGCTCTTTACATTTTTTTCAAGTACAACAGTATCCCCCGTGTACAGGTTTTATGGGGTTTTGGAACGTTTCAGGGTCAAATATTTCTGCCTGGATTGTCATATTTTGTTATTTTATTCATTATATATTAAGGGATCTACCAGACAACCCTGGCAGTCTGCCAATCAATCCAGCGCCCAGTAACCTCTGTGCTATAATCAGGGATGTGAATAAAGGGTTTAACCATTCAATTGCTGTGGAGTGGCAGAGTGAGAGGGACATTGTAGTAAGGTATATGGTTTAGAATTTCTAAGACTATAGTGCTCCTTTAAGGAATGTACCACAGCATTTGAAAACCAAATCAAAGAAATGTTTAACTGCACACAAAAGAGTGTAATTTACTAAACAAGGAATTGATGGGAATAGATAACCTACTACCAAATCGTCAGGCAAATTAACAGTAAGAGATACTCCAAGTCTCCTCCACTACACATGGCCTACATTGTCCCAGGACCTGAAAATCTTTTAACAAAACTCCCACATGAAATAATGTATGCTCATTTTATAGTTAAAAAGGTCCCTGGTTCCTTTGAACACACTTGCTAATCACTGCAATGATTTTGGAGAAAAAAAAAAAATCATTAGATATATATATATATATATATATATATATATAGAGATATATATATAGAGATAGATATCTCTATCTATATCTATCTAGATAGATATATATATCTATAGCTATATATCTCTCTCTCTCTCTCTATATCGAGAGAGAGAGAGAGAGAGAGAGAGAGAGAGAGAGAGAGAGAGAGAGAGAGAGAGAGAGAGAGAGAGAGAGAGAGAGAGAGAGAGAGAGAGAGAGAGAGAGAGAGAGAGAGAGAGAGAGAGAGAGAGAGAGAGATATATATATATATATATATATATATATATATATATATATATATATATATATATATATATATATATATATATATATATATATATATATCTCTATCAAGTCAAGTCCACATCTCCCCCTATAGTTTAGTGAACCTGAACCTCTGTAGGTAGACTTGAGAAAAGGACAGCTTGGTCATACACTTTGCACAACCCCATTCACAAAACTAAATGGTGCTGTCAAAATAAAAGTGGCTACAGTGTAGTTGCTATGACATTTCTAAGTAATTCCACTCATCAGATCAGATTAATGGAGCCTCTAATTGCAGATGAACTGAACAGGTCATAAACTCCTGCGGGACAAAGGTTTATGGAATAAGACCAGGATGAGAAGCTTCAGAATAGCAGAATGAACTATTGCTTCTGCTTGCCTGTGGCAACTACAGAAACCTGGGGTGGGGGAAATAAAAAAATAAAAGCAATCTCATCTTTTAATTAGGTTTAACTTTCCCCTCTTTTTATATACAGATTTAAGGGAAAATGGTCACTTCTGCAAACATCATAAATTTTGACTGTTTTTAACTTACATTCTACCAAACAAACATATGCCATTATAAAATGGAGCAATTACACAAAATAAAGCCGGTATTTAAACTAATATGGTTATTAAGTGAACATTTAGTGATTCATTCTCTTTAAAACCTTTCATTAAGGATGAATATGTGCTTCATGTTTTATTGTGTTTTGTATACGTAAAATCCTAGTAGCTGCAGATATGTACACTCTGCCAAGCTGCAATGTGTTCTAGATTGGAAAAAAAAAAAATCAAAAAAAAAAAAAAATTTCAACCAACTGGGGCAAATCGGGGAGAGGAGGAGAGATGGAGAGAGAAAAAAAAAATTAAGTCTCAAAAACACAGCAATTCATACTGGAAAATTAGGAGGCAAGACATACAAACCAGGAATGTATGAACACAGCCCAAGCTAGAGCAAAAAATACCCAGAGTCAAGCAAAGTTCAGCTGACAAGCTTCTCAGTCAATTTAAACCATATGCAAAAGATTGCCTGCGGGGCCCAGAGAAAATAGAGGAGAGGGGGAAAAAGAAAAAAGGATAGATAGAGAGGAAAAAGCAACAGGAAAAAAACTGACAAAAAGATGAGGGGCTAAGATAATAGGTTACAGAGAAAGTACAGCACTAGGACTAGAATGCACACAATAGGTCCTGCTTTAGGAGGACCTGCAGAGAAAGAGTGGTGTGAGACATGGGCTTTATACTGCAGAGATGAGGTGTTCATGTGTAGGAACTAGGAAAGGGAAACAGATGCTTTAACCCCTCGAGTAATGCAAACACTTTTTACACATAGTACAACAAAATAAAATGAATGAGGAAAGAAAGGCTGCTCGCTAGGAGTGAAAACGGTCTGTGGAAAAAGCACGCATTCAAAAGAACGCAAAGATGATCAATATTTACCTCTATACATTTCATAGTGATTTACGCTATAATAAACAAAAACAAAAACCAACAACTTCAATTTTAGCCATGTTAAAATATCTGCTTACTCATAGAAAAGCAACATTTGACACTGGCAATCGATCAATCATATCTGAGCAATGTTCTGGCACACACACAATTTTTGTCATGTGTCTTACTTCAGTTCCTGAGACTCTTCTCATAGTAATTCAGCTCCAATGACAATCCAGAGGTAGGGCATGTAGTAGAGCATGCAAAACTCAAATGAGGAAACGGGGTGCATCCGCACCTGGACCCATCACAGAACAGTGCACCAATCAGTACAGAGGTAAGAGTTGAACACACTAAGGGCAGGATTTCCCAAACACAGAACATCAAGTAACAAAGCCCATGGATAGTAATGTAACAGACACAGTGCGTGGAATAAGTAGCTCACAAGTAGGGCCTATTTATGCACCATATCAACAGAATATCAAACGCTACATTCTACCTCTCAGCTAAGCCCAACAAGCAGGCTCTGCCATATGCTCCATTGTTGCAACATTCTCATTCAAGGGCTGCCTTGTATTTTGTCTTGGTAGGGCACAAGGGCAAACTCGCCCTGCACGCCCCCCCCTTTACTCTTCAGCCTTATCCACTCTCCTGGTTTTTCTATCTGAAGGAAGGGGTGGGGGGGATGTTAAGGGTCCATATGAAAAGAGAGAGCTAATTTGGAATAAAAGGAATTAAGGGGGGAAATAAAAGCTTGTGCTGACACCTGAAGGGGGGGTGGACATTCTGTCCCCAAAACAGCAGCTGGCACAGGCGGGCACTGCAAAGCAAGCACACTGGACAAAAGAGACCACACAGGCTCTGGAAAATGTGTGAGTGTGCATGCAGGCTGCCAGGCCCAGCAGGACACGGAGGTCTGATCCTATAACAGGGCAGAAAGGGGGAACTCTGAGGTACCCAGTACAAAAAGCTGTCCAGTACACAGAAACAGATGTACCAGGAGGAACAGTTAAATATTAAGTACACAAACCAGAGCAACAGCTCTTTTCAAGTATCTTCTCTTACCAATGTTCATACAGATTTTAGAAAAAGAAAGATCTGTGGTTGGAGATCCTTTTGTATTTTTAAATTTTAAACAGGTACTTGCACATTTGATATTTAAGGATTGTAAAGCCCCAGGTGGTATTAGAGTCATACAATAATACAGCTATTTAAATGTGCCAATTTACAATGAAGAGCATGCCCACTGAATATAAAATACAAGGTCCACAAGAGCAGGCAAAATGAAAAGGGTGGGAAGGGGGTGGGAGCACGTTACTGGAATCTCTCCTCAAAATATGCCACACTGTCAAAGGCCGTTTAGAATACATTAAAAAGAAATAAAACACAGTAGGGAAAAATTACAGCGTCTTTATAAAAATAGTACATAGTCAAGAAAAGCAGTGGGAGAAATCCTGCTGAATAATATACTGTATTAGTGGCCTTTTGTAGAAATTTTTGCAGTATAGCCAATGCTGCACGATATTGCATACCTTTCTAAAGAAATGCAAGAATTAGTGCGGCTTAAATCTGAAGTCCCAAGTATATTCTATAGAGACCTTGCAGGACCATAGCCATATACAAGATCAGCCCTTTTCGGAAGCAGTTTTGTTGAAAAGCACTTCACTTGAACATAGAATACAATACATGATGAGGTACTGGGAAGGCTAATCTAGAATACAAAACAGCAGTGTTTATATTTGTGCAAGGTTCTCTAAAGACCAATCTCCACTGTACAGCCACACCCTCCACTTGACAAAGAAGATTTAGCAGATTTAAAGCCTGCAGTTTTATGACAGGGCGCAACCCCAAAACGAAACAATTCAACTCACAAAACTGCTTACACAAAATCCACAGTAAGCTGGCAGTGGGCTGTGGACCTTATGTCAAGAACTGTTGTGTGGGCTCACTTTTAGTGATGAGGGGTGTTCCAATTAACCTTTTAAATGATAGGATGAAAGAGGTTTTGTTTGCCTGTCGTTTACATATCAAAAAAAGTGAAAAGGTTGTAATGACAAGGGGTGTCTGGCGGCCTCCTCAGAGTATCAGTAAAGGCCGAAACCTAACAATTTAACATTGCATGGAAATGTATGTAGTATTACATTGCACCTTGAACCTTTATCAGGTTATACTATTTTACAGTCTGCTAATTTATTTACCTATATGAGTAATAAGCAGGTAGGGTTTCTAAGTATTACTATCTTAGCACTTGCTAAGGTGAAGGACCTCCCTTGTTTATTTCTCTCTTCATTCTGTATTTTATAAATGCAGATATTTATAAAAGCTGTAGGGTTTGTTTGTTTTTTTAAACAAAGAGCAATGCAGTTATGCTACATACTGAAGAAGCAACATAACGTAACTGGGAGGAAATCAAAATTAATCTCACCCTACCCCCTTATAAAATGTAAAAAAATAAAAAAAAAGACATGGCTTTCTCAAATCAAATATTAGTTAAATATTCCCTAGAAACCAGTATCTTTAGTGTAGGTAAGATGGCAAGATATACTCCTGTTCTGTATTAAAAGAACACTTGCAGTTGATCTATCCATCAACCCACCGTGACAAACTGAATATACCGGATCTGATCATTATTGCCAGGCTCTGAGACAGATTTACCTTGGGTATGACTATGAAACAAATGTGGGAAGAGAAGAACTATTGGCACACCTATGTTTTGAGAAAATCTCAACTACTTCTGTAATTATGTTGGTTAACATTTCTTGGAACTCCTTGGTTCTCTTTCTCCAAAGACCCCTCTCTTCTTGTCCAGGTAGAGGGATATATTTGGGCAAAAAAAAAGAAAGAAAGGAAATGCCTGCTAATAAAGTGTGTGTTGACCAAGGAAAGAGGATGGGGACGGTGGACAATCATTGTAATTAAAATGGATAAGATTTCTCTGCCTGGGCAAGACCCCTCCCAGCAGAGGTTTTTGTTCTCGTTTGCATCTGTCAAAACCAGAGATTCTGGATGAAATCCTACAAGTCAGGTTTAGCAATAAGGTAAAGAGCAGTCAAAACCATACTGCTTTCACAGTACAAACAAACTGCAACTCTCTACAAATAGGTTGCTGGTCACATCAGGCCCACAGCGTAACACAATAACAAAGGGCAGAAAAGTTGTAATGATGCAAATTGAGAACAGTTGTGTTTACATGTCTTCGTATTAAAATGAATGCTACCCTTTTAGTGTGTAGAATATTTTCAGTGTATTCATTAATCAAAAACCTTAAAAGGAACAAAAGTTGATTTACTCACTAAATATATTGATGGGAAATTTAACAAAATACATTGGATAAATGTGGATTTTAGTAACTTACAATGTGCTCTAAAGGGCAACATTACAATACCTTCTACTGTGCACCCCGCTCCACCCCCCAAAAAAGGCCTAAAAGATAAGATTAGTGCAGAATCACTTAATCCTGTACCTTGGATAATTACAATTGGACAGGAGAGTCTAATCTACTTTATAACAGGTTTTACAGGACAGAATCCATAATTCCTATTTTGGATCTGTATGTGCTCCTACTGTCACTGCAAAATGAACAAAGGGGAGCAGATCAGGCATCACAAAGCTACCCAACCCAGGGGAGCGTCTCCTGCAGCCGGGGTGTGTGCCAAAACGTCTACTCTCAACTGGAAGAATAGCTCAGGTGCATGTGTCAGTGAATAGGTGGGACAGGGAGCCAGTAAGACACAAGGTTTTTTTATATAAACACACACACGCAAAACATTTGTTGCTAGAAGGAGACCATGAATTTAGCTACTGAAATGCAAGAGAGCACCTGCCGAGGAGGGGAGGGGCAGGGGTAGCTTTAAGCATTACAAATAATGTGTGTCATGCCAAGAAGAAAACAGAAATAGGTAATGAAGCACCCAACCCACAGCTATGATGCCTTCAATTTCTGCTAATAATTGTAGAGATGACTGTAAGTGGTAAAGTGTGTTCATAAACATACTAATCCACACCAATAATTCTAAGTACAATCCTAACACACATATAAATGTATTTCTAGGTAGGTCTGTTTGTTTCATTTAACCCATTAGATTATATATGAAACAGAACTTATTTTGTGCGTCTTTAGGGGTATAACCAAGGAGCCTCTCTGCATCTAAATACTTAGCAGTTGCTCATACATTGTAATGCATTGCATCCAGTGGCTTCTGGCACACAGATGGTTCAGCAGGCACATCTTGCTGCACTGTCTTGCATATTGCTCCCACTAGCAACCTGACAGATGTGGGAGAAGGCCAACACTGTGGAATAAAACTGAATAGCATGATCTTAGCTCTGTCCTTCCCCTTTTTCCACGCAGCCTCGTATTCCTACAAGACAGTTCTAAGCACCTGACAGAAAAGTAATTAAAAGTGTTCATACCTACATTTACTAGTGGACTAAAGATGTATAAGGGGACCATAAGTTTAATTCCCACTGTAAAGCGCTGCGGGATTTGTTGGCGCTATATAAATAACATACCGTATATACACTTGAGTATAAGCCGACCCGAATATAAGTCGAGACCCCTAATTTTACCCCCAAAAACTGGGAAAACTTATTGACTCAAAGTATAAGACTAGGGTGGGAAATGCAGCAGCTACTGGTAAATTTCTAAATAAAATTATAACCCCCCCCCCAAAATTATATATATGTGTGTGTGTGTGTATGAGTGCATTGAGTGTGTATGAGTGCATTGTGTATGTATGTATGTATGTATGTATGTATGTATGTGTGTGTGTGTGTGTGTGTGTATATATGTGATGCAGAGCCTTGGTGGGGGGTGGGCATTTTTATAATTTTTTTGATTATTATTTTAATATTATTATTTTAATATTATTTATATTTTCTTTGTCCCTCCTCCCTGCTTGATACATGGCAGGGAGGGGAGCGGAGGAGAAAGAAGGGAGCTGACAGGAGCTGCAGGAAAAGTAAGTTACAGCTCTCTGCCAGCCCCCCAACAGGACCGCTGGACTTGTAATGAGCTCGGCGGTCCTGGTCTGTATTATGGCAATGTAAGTTAATGAGTAGGAAACTAAATACACTATATATACACACACACACACACACTTCAGGTCTGAAGTATTGATTCAAACCCGAAAGCTTGTTTTTTTTAAATATTATGTCAGTCCAATTAAATAGTCCAATTATATACACACACAAATGATAATTATTTTTTAAAATAAAAACGCAACCACTAGTGTGAGTTGTTAAAGCTTTGCACAAATAAATACATTCCCTTCCATACACAATTAGGAGAGCTAGAAATGGAGAAGAGAGGATTCTGGAATATATTAACATCCAAAATGGTTGGGATGCCAATATGCCACACTGACCAAGGTGCATAGGTAATCCTCCCATTGCAAAGCCACTAGAACACCCTGCAGTTTGGGCCTGCATATGGCTAGAGCATAGGTTGCCAGATATCATATGGTACAGCTGAGCAAAAAAAAATGTCCATTATTTTACTACTTAAGCCATAAGAACATATAGGTTTACTAAACAGCTCTATGGAATCTTGCAGTTTTAGAAAATATTTTTTAAAATGTATATGTGGTTCTTAAAGAGAAAAATGGTTTCCTGCCCACTTATTAATTTTATATAGCGCCATCAGATTCCATAGCGCTATACAAACACTTCTGACTAAATGCAGCACTCCCAGCAGCACAGATACAGATCTGGCACACTGATCTTTGGTCAGTGACTCCTAAATGGGGAAACTGCAAAAATACACATAAAGCTTAGAGACGGCACTTTTACAGCGTTCATGATATGAACAGAACTAGCTTAGAAAGTTATGAATGTATGGTTCTTTTAGAAAAGGGGTATCCAATTCCTTTAATATTCTTCCTCTGCACACGTCCACATTATTGCCAGTTACAAAACAACTTTGGAGTTGGAGCAGGCTTGCAACAAGTTAGTGGATACACACATTTTGCAAGTGCAGGACATACTTTTTCTCAGTACGATACAATCAAAAAGGACATAAAACAAACTAGGAATTACTTTGTCCAATCTAAACTTCGATTTTTAGCAAAATGTGGCCAAACGTAAGCAACAAACTACTTCTACCTGCTGCATCTTTTACCATAAGCCTTCACTTCAACTGATGCCAGAGACATCTCATTGCATATGTGCATGTACAAATAGCGAAGTCTCAGAGAATGTCCCACAGATGCCCATTTTAAAAATTGGCCAAGAACTACGAAATCTGATGGCGCTATATAAATAATAATAAATAATAACAACTACAGAAAATTAAAATATACTAAAAACCAAGACCACAGCACTGTTGAGGGAGAGTTTTCTTTTCCCATAAGTCTCACCAGGAATCAAACATGTTGCCCTGGGAAGTCTTCTAAGAGAAGGGAGGGTGGGAGAGAATACGTGTAAGCATCATATTAGATGGCATAGACTGTCACTGGCCCTTAAGGAGTTAAAGAAATAGATCTTTGCTAACGTGCCAAGCAAGTCTGGAGTTCCAGTGTTTCAGGAAATGGATCTGCCTCATAGCAGCAATTAATGAAGTCCAAACACAAAAGGTGTCCAGGTGGGTATCTAGGTGCTTTGTTATGCATCTACAGTATGAGCCCATCCCCCCAGCCACCTCTCACCCTCAAACTTGCCCAGCAGGCATCTCAGGCTTTGTGGAATGCAGACCAGCCCCAGGCACCAGCTTAGAACCTTCCCAGAGAAACTGTTTGCCAACTCTGTATTCTTTTACAAAGAGGTAGGGGAGCTGGGAGGTGCAGTAGGGCTATGTAGATACACAGAGTCCATATCACAATTTTACCGATACACCAAACCAACACACTAATGACATGAAACCGATTGTACGTACATACTGGACAGAAGTATGCATACATTTTACGGTAAACATTATATAGGCATGCACAGAAACCGGTGCTTGTAACCAACCCCTAGAATAGGACAATCATACATGTATACACTTATTTACTTAAGATTCTGATTTTGCTTTTTGTTTATTACATGTTGTCCAAAAATATTATTTGATAAGAATCTAACTGGTGCGGTTTAAACAGTTCCTACCACAATGTCTCACAGCACACACAAAGCTTCACATGTACAATGATGCTCAAACAAACAGTACCAGTATCAAGCCCAGTCAGTAAGCGCAATGGCCGAGCAGTCTGGAAATCAGACAGTACTTACTGCACTTTATTGTGCAAATGCTTCATGTGGTCCATTCTTTTCTGTGTGGTAGGTGTATCGGGGGTACCCCACAGGACTTCCTGGCTGGGCTTGGTACGCTTTGTATCATTCCTCTACATACCTATCATGTCGCCTTTGCTTAGAATCACAGCATTCTAGCTTACAGTTTATCTATTAGTGTCAGTCTCATAAAATAAAGCATTAAAAGCTCCCTTTCTGACCCTAAACCAAACCTATGCATAAGAGTAAACTGCAGTATGTAGTTTCACCACATATTTCACCAATATGCTGCATGGCCATCAAGTAAAAAACAAAAATGCTAGTCATGAGAATATATATATCTATCTCAAAGGGAGTGTCCTCTTCAATCTATTGTTACTGTACGTTTTTGTAATTGTCTAATTTGTTAAATCCCCTCCCACTGTTAATAGTGTAAAGCGCTACAGAATATGCTGGCGCTATATAAATACCAATATTAATATTAAATAATAAAATGTTATAACACTCATTGCAGATGTACCTATGTCAACTTACCCACTCGCTTTCACTTTATATGAGGAAGCTACACTTCCCTCTGCGTCACACATTTAGTGACTTCTAACTAGAATATACACAAACATAATTAAAAAAAATTGGTGCGTCCATTTAACAGCAGCTTCAACAACATCATCCCAAACATCAGAAGAATTGCTGCCAGGAGTAGAACCAATCCAAGAACCAGTTAAACTCAAACCAGCCATCATATATGCACACAGGTATTCAGGAATGACCTTGCTCTTTTGCAATTCTGATATATTAGGGACATTTAATGATAACTGGACTGGTCTGAGTAGCACTGTGAACTTTAAAAGATCACAATGTTGTTTTACCGTGTTTCCCCGAAAATAAACCCTACCCCGAAAATAAGCCCTAGTCGGATTTTCGGGGTGGGCTGCAATATAAGCCCTACTCCGAAAATAAGACCTAGGCATTGCACCTTTGCGGCGAGACTTCCTTCTTCTACTGTAGGAGGAGTGTTGCGGGCCGCGGCATCGCGCAACGTGATGACGACATTTCGCAGCGCCGTAAGTCTGCCTTCATGGATCTTCAGCGGAAGGATCCATTTCCGGGCGGTGAGGCACCCAGTGGTCGGACTCGGCAAGGAATCTTTGAAATGTGAGTACCGGTAGATATTTTATGTCTGGGACTGAATTAAAGGGGGCGGGGGGTGAATTAATTAAAGGGGGGGTGAATTAATTAAAGGGTGGGCTGGATTAATTAGAGGGTGGTGAATTAATTAAAGGGGTGGTGAATTAATTAAAGGGTGGGCTGGATTAATTAGAGGGGGTGAATTAATTAAAGGGGTGGTGAATTAATTAAAGGGTGGGCTGGATTAATTAGAAGGGGGTGAATTAGTTAAAGGGGTGGTGAATTAATTAAAGGGTGGGCTGGATTAATTAGAGGGGGGTGAATTAATTAAAGGGGTGGTGAATTAATTAAAGGGTGGGCTGGATTAATTAGAGGGGGGTGAATTAATTAAAGGGTGGGCTGGATTAATTAGAATTAATTAAAGGGGGGTGAATTTAATTAATTGGTGAATTAATTAAAGGGGTGGTGAATTAATTAAAGGGTGGGCTGGATTAATTAGAGGGGGGTGAATTAATTAAAGGGGTGGTGAATTAATTAAAGGGTGGGCTGGATTAATTAAAGGGGGGTGGATTAATTAAAGGGGGGTGGATTAATTAAAGGGGGTGGATTAATTAAAGGGTGGGCTGGATTAATTAAAGGGGGGTGGATTAATTAGAAGGGGGGTGGATTTATTAAACGGGGATGGAATTAAAGAGGGGGTGGATTAATTAAAGGGGGTGGATTAATTAGAGGGGGTGGATTTATTAAAGGGGGGTGGATTAATTAGACAGTATGGTATTTTGATCCCCAGACAAGATGAGTGCAAAGAGAAAGAGCTGTACATACTGGTAACGTAAATAAATAAGCCCTACCCTGAAAATAAGCCCTAGTGTGTTTTTTGTGACTAAAATTAATATAAGACCCGGTCTTATTTTCGGAGAAACACAGTAGTAGAAGGCATTTATTCGCTATACAGTACTGGTACCAGTACAGTACCAGTATCCAGAACCAATAAACACAGAAGGAAGGAGATCAAGTAAGACATAAAAGTGCAAAACATGGAGAATACAAGTATCAGACTTCCACAATCATGGAAGATGAAAGCAAATGCAAAAAAAAGTTTAATAATTTGTAGCTTAAGAAAAAAAATTTAAAAAAAAAAAATTCATACTAGACATTCACCCTACTGCTGCTTTAATAATGCAATTGTGCTACTATTATTAGACATTTCCCTTAGAAGCTGCAACAGCGTATTTTGTGATCAAGTACGTGCACAATTACACCACCATTTCCAGATGTGTGGGTGTAAAATTGAATAGAAGCAAAAAGTAACATTCCCAGTTAAAGCTGAGCGGCTGTTAGTTACAAGTTTTTCAGTGGGATGCCTGATGATGTCATTGGCATCAGATATCTTGTTAATAAAAACGTGCATCTATGCAGCAGCTATATAATTTGGACTCTGACCATGCACTACTAATGGATAACTAGAATGTGTCTAGTTAACACTACCAGCTTTATGCACACAGCACAGTTTTCACTGAAGCAGGAAGTTTGAGGTCCATTTCACATTACTAGCAAATGTTTACATGTTGCTTCCTAGGCCAGACTTTTACTTAAAATCTAATCCTCAACAAGGAAGGGGTAGACATGTCACAACCTGTTTCCCTTTCATGCCAGGAATCTAGGTGGTAAGGTCCCACCAGTAAGAACGGATAGTCAGTACTTCACTATAAGCCGGTCCCTCTCTCTATGAAGTGAAAAGGATATTTTACTTACCTTTTTTCCACCATCGCACCGGACCAGCTGCGGCTGGCACTATCTCCATAGTGGAGATCAATCAATCTTTATTATCTCGGCTATTACACTTGCGCTGCAAAACATGCGAGGCCAAGTCAATCAGCATCTTCTCATCAAGATCATTGAAATCAATGAAAGTCTATGGGAAGTGTCCAGCATCGCAGTTCAGCACTGGAAAACAAAGCACTTCCAGTGGCTGTCTGAGCCACTTGAGGTGACACTAGGTACCAATATAAGCACTGCCTTTTTCTCTGAAAAGGCAAGTTCTTCATGGTATAGACACCAGAACCACTACATTAAGCTGTAGTGGTTCTGGGGACAATAGTGTCCTTTTATTTATTGCAGTTTATAGTGATGTCCCGAACTGTTCGCCGCGGACGGCGAACATATGCGGTAAACTTTGACCCTGTACCGCACAGTCAGCAGACACATTCCAGCCAATCAGCAGCAGACCCTCCCTCCCGGACAGCTCACTAAGAATGCAGCTTCACAATGAATGTAAAATGGATGCTGTCCAGGAGTTGGGAGGGTCTGGGAGGGAGGGTCTGCTGCTGATTGGCTGGAATGTGTCTGCTGACTGTGAGGTACAGGGTCAAAGTTTACCGCATATCTTCGCCGTCTGCGGCGAACCGTGCGGGACATCACTAGCAGTTTAAGTGTAAATATCCTAAGTATTTAAACATTTCTCCAGTTGAATTAATTTTACCTTCAGAATTAAGAAAGGATATAACTTCTGCTACTAAATAAATGTCTCTCTCTATAGAGACTATAGAAAATGCTAGTGAGAAACAGTTTTAAAAATCCAATACATCATTAAAGAAAATTATAAACAGTTCAGATTTACATAAGTCACTCAAATGTGGAGGTAATTAGTTTATAAGAGGGGAAGGTGAAGCTTGTTTTCTGCATCAGAAAAGCTTCATGTGGCCAATCCAGTTTCATGCCATTCTGGCTGCAATGGTATAAATTTGTGGCAAGTTCAAAATACCTAACTTCATTTCCTCTTAAAGGCTTTTGTGTTAAATGCACATGCCTTTTTCTCAGCCAAGTGAAAAGGACTCTACTTCAAAACCACCCCCACCCAGGAAGGTGCCAGGTTTTTTTGGTGTTTTCTTTTTAAAAAGCATGTGGTTTGGTTAGAAAGTATTCCTAGAAAGACTAGGTACAGATTTCTACTCTATTCACCAAGGTATATCAATTCATTTTGCGAGTGTACAAAACAGAGAGCATTGTGCATGGGTTAAACCTCCCATATTTGCATAAGGCTTTATGACTAAATACCATATAGTGTTATATACACACACTGTTTATTGGGAAAAAAAAAAATATATATATATATATATATACACACACACATACATATACACATACATATATACACACACACACACACACACACACGTTTGTACTCTATAACACAATGCCAGAAAGCAGCAGACAAATCTTATTAATAGGGCTACTACGGAACCTTCCTTTTACGGAGTTTGGACCTGCCTCATTATGTAGATAGAAAATGTGTGCATGAACAAAATAGGTTTCACTCATATTCCACAAACGGAAAAGTAAATAATAAGCAGACCTTGGCTATGAACTGTTACAAGTGAACTTCGTGCCCTCAGAGCCTGGGTAAGGTTCTCTGCCAGCATAAAACACCTGGCTTTTTATGCTGAGTTATCTCTATGAGTTTTGGTATCCATAGAGTCTGAGAACAACAGCAGCAGCGCCACTCCAGGCTTGAAAAAAAAAAAATACTAGCACATATAAAATAAAGGTTACATATATATATATATATATATATATATATATATATATATATATTATACCATATATATATATATATATATATATATATATATATATATATATATATATATATATATATTTATTTATTTTTTTTATTTAAAAAAAAAAAAGTGTTGTGTTCACATGCAACAATTTCTTAATTATAAAAAAAAAAAATGGTTTCTCCATCCTGTACACATTGGTCCCTTTTGCCCCCATGATGATTTATCATTAATTACACTTACAAAATAAGAAAATAAAATTGTTCCTACATGGTTTGTATTTTAGAATGTTAGCTCTGTTTTCAACAGAGCTTTACAGTTTGATTATCTGACAGACTTGCAAATAATCCTTAATAGGAAGCTGCTTTGTAATGCAAGGCCCACTAAAAGGGTTACGTTTAAATGCTTCTGTGGGGGGAGAGTAGAGTGGGCATAAAAACAAAAAACGACCTAGTACTTTGTCCATGGCCAGTGTATACACCCTTATTTAAATGAAGGAGGCTTTCCAGAAGTAGCAGATGATGTGCCATTAAATTTGACACAAGAGCAAAATGGAGAGAGAAATGGAGCCTCTGGCCTCTTGCAGCTGGGATGTAATTAAGGCCTGAAAGTGGTAATCCCAAGAAAAGGGACAAGCGGTAGAGGGGGCAGGGTAAAGTGATGCAGTAGTGTAAAGGGCAGCCTTACAAGCTAAAAGGTTGTGTATCTTCATATTATAAACACACACACAAAGGCAGAATGCCACTCCTGTCCTTTAGTAGCCTAATGTAAATTAAGAACTCAGAAGGTATGGGGAAAAAAAAAAAAAAAATGTACACCCCTTTTGTACTGTCAAGCATAAACAGAGACCAGAGAATGCCATCATGAATCCAAACTATTACCCTCCCCATCTCATTTTATTGTACTGTCCTTCTGTCTAGGGTCAAACTGACAGATGTACCTTGCACACAGCCCAAAATAGGCATAACAAAAAACTAAAAAAAAAAACTAAAATTAAAACAAAAAAAAAAAACACAACCACCATGCCAGTCTGTGATACATAAATGTTTAATTATACCTTTTACATACTATATGCAGTTCTAGTGAGTTTGTTGATGCTATACAAGTAATAATTGTAATGTTAATTTTTTTAATTTTATTTTTACAAGGAACTGAGCACTTTTCTAAAATGTTGCCCTTATTGACCAGCTGAAATGTACGGATTCCTTGAAAGTAAGCAGGGCTTCGTTGACACTGCAATTGTAATAAACAGTACTAGAGCACTAACAAAATGAGCTCAACATGGAATAAAAATCATTTTAAATGTGAAAGCTTCATACAGGTCTTATGAAACATGCCACTCTTAAGAGATAAACACCCACCACCACCAAATAAATGAATCTATGAATTGGTTACAAGCGATTCATGAAAAAAGAAGGCAGAGGGTCATTACCAATTTACTGGATGCATTACAATGTATCCTTTAGGCTTGGGCATTAGAAAACACTGGTCAAATGGCCATACCTGGACTACTATACATAACAATAGCAGGGTCTGTAAACATTTCATTCATACTGCTGAAAAGAAATTATTTGTGCATCTAGTTTCTAGGGGTAATACAGAGCACTGGAGATCATACAGCATTTTTCTGGATTAGTGTACGTTGAAGACCTTAAAAACTCACGATTCCTAAGCCTCCTCTCCTTGCAAGGTAAAAGCAGGAAATTAGCTAATTACCCTATATTGCCAACAGTAAGCAGCCTACCAAGCAACATATCACTGCAATAAGCAGGTATGAATTATTAAAAAGCTTGAGATCACTGGATTGGTCCCAGCAGCACGTGTCTTAGCCTTTCACACCCCAAGGTGCATCCTCCTGTACACAAAGCTGTGTGACATGGTAGGAGCTGTATTGCTTTAGGTGCAGAAGTGATGTCTTTTCATATCAATTGACAATTCCCTTTTCAACCTTGTCTCTATTTTGAATTTGTGCCCTCACAAAGGGTCGTGTGACCTTTGTCAGTCAAAAAAACAACAACCCAGAGACGATTCAATTCTAAACTAAAATGTTAAGAAGAAAAACAAAAAATAAAGAGTGCTAACTATTAAGGTTTAACATGCCCTTTCATAAGAAAGGAAAATGAAGACCTTGTTATGGCAGGTAATACAAACAATAAGACTCGCAGTCTGAGATTTGCTTTTTGAATATAAAAACATATTAAATAGGCAAATTGGAAACGATTAATGATATTAGCAGAGAAGTACAATTTTTTTTTATTGATTGTTGCCTTAGATAGATTAAGGATTGGAGGCTGCATGGGCCACAAGGTAAATAAAAGCAATATTTCACCCAAATTGTACACTAAAAATACATTACACTTTGTAAAAATGTCATTACAAAGAAACAAAGCAGTGTTTTGGATAGTCTTTAAGACTCTTTTTCAAAGGCTTTTAAAAGGAGTTCTGTGGTACTAAACCCAGGGTGATTCGGTGGACATTGTAGGCACCATAACCATTTCGTCTCATTGATTTGATTATACTGCCTGGAGTCCGCAGCATTGTCCCTCCATTTTAAAGCAGTTTAAAACCGAATGAGGGTCCGTAGCTTCAAAAAGCCCTGCCCACAATGGAAGTGTGACTAATACAGACACTTCCTGGAAGTCATTCCGATTCATACCTGCAATGAGGACTGTGACAAGCTGAATGCAGTCAGCTGACACTCTAAGCCAATCACAGTCATCTATTGCAGCTCAGGCTAATGCGTCCTTATTAGCCTAAGCAGCACAGAGGATGGGTTGATGGGGACTCTTGTTTAGCATTAAACATTAAACACAGCTTAATCCTGAATTAACGGACAGTGCCAGGGGGACTGCAGACACTATAACCACTTCAATTAGATGAAGCACTAATGGTGCATATAATGTTCTCTCAAAACTATGCTAAGTTTGTCCTATACTAGCCAGACCGTAAGGGTTACTCCATATTGCAAACCTGGAGGGTCCATGGAACATTTGTTAACCGCATAGATTGTTAGTGCTAACTTGATTTATTGTTTTTATTTAACAATTTAATGAGTCACACGTCAGTGAAAACCCCATAGAAAAGCAGATATCAGATCGAGTGAGTAAATAAAGGGTTGTGATTTTTTTTTAACCCTTTACATGCTGTGGAGGGGGAGCAGAGGGCTCTATAGTGTTAGGAATGCAGTAACCAATGTTTCTTCCAAATGCTATGTAACAAAGACCTCCTAATTTCCTTCCCCCTTTATTCTAAAAATAGTTTGGATCAAAACAGCATAGCCTGCACAAAAGCATTGTGCATTTACAAGGAGAACAATCACCAGGTGTTGCTGTGATTAACTTTATTTATGAATGAAAATAGTGTTTTAATTATTAGCATTTATATTACGTCTACATATTCAACATCACTTTACATATATAGAAAGGGGATATTTGGAAGTGAAGATGGTCATGCGGACACAATCTTACAATCTGAGGATTTTTAAGTAGGTAGGCCAATATATATAAATGGGTGTCTCACCCAATGACACTTACTAGGTTCCCTGATTCTAAGGCAGTAATCTAGAAGTCCACCTATAACTGAATGACAGTCTGACATTTAATTTTCAATAAAAAATTAATAAATAAAAAACAAACAAACAAACAAAAAACAAAACAAAAACAACTGACAGCTGAACTCTATAATCCCTTAAAATAGTACCGTGTAGGCTTTGAGGTACACCTAACATTTCAATTAATGAAAATAATAGGAAGGCTAGGACTGGCTCAGAGATCTCCATTTCCTAGTCTCTCCAAACATCGCACAAGGAGATGCAAATGAGTTTTTCTTTTTAACGCACACCTTCCATAATATTAAGTCACCTCCATGACAACATCCAAATATAAGTGAATAGAAGTCACAGCAGTAAAATAAGGTTCTTTAAAAAAAAAAAAATTTGGGTCTCAAAAAGAATTGTAATAAATATACACTTTAACAAAAGGAGTTACTGATCCAAAAGACAATGACAAACTAACAAAGAGATGCAATCAAGTTTAAAATAAAAATTTGATTCACCGATACTGTCAGCTCTTAAAATCACTAGCAATAAGGTACATTTGGTCATAAAAACAGAACTGCAAGTCATCCATCAGAAGCTTCAAAGCATCTGAAAGACTAAAAGAGTTAATGAGAGAAAGGAGAGAAAAAAAAAAAAAAATAGAAACTAGCTAGAAGCCGATAAGTAAACACTCCCATCAGGAACGTTGCCAGTTTGCCAACACAAGCCTGTTTTGCTTTCAGCATGCGAATGACCTGGAGCGAAGGAAATGCTTTTCCAGGAATTTCTGACACTCGTTGCCATTCACGCTCTGTAAGCTGGCACCTTCCCATGTAACCCAAGAGCGCAGCCAGAGAACATGGACAATGGATCTCGTGCCGAATAAGCAGCTGCCTGCTCACTATCTGCGGGCCCTGACACTGGCCTTTACTGGACAGATAAAACAGAGGGCACGCATCTGCAATTCATTCTAAACCAAAACGCTAAATACTGGGCAACCACTTCACACAAGGTATGACACAGAAATCGTAACTACAAATTAGCACATTTATTCACAGATTTTATCTCAGATTGCATCTAAAAGTCTTTTGTCTGCCAACTGCCTGGTCTACCACAGCAGCTGGAACCCTGCTCCATGACAAATATATAGAACACATCATAAAGTCTACAAGGATGATGTTAATCCTTCCCATATAACTTCTACTCCGCCACACGTTGCCAACATAAGCAAATGTACACACAAACAGAAAGTTTACAGGTAAGCAAAGATAACCAAGAATATATTTATTTATATTTTGTAACAATATGCTACGGACCCTTCATCCAAAGTACGAACAGTCAGTATCAGACCCTTGCAGCCATGAGCTGGCAGAAGGCAATTGGAGCTGTAGTTTTAGGGCTCGGTTCTCAGTGTTATGCTATACTGTACCTAGAGAGGCTTCTTTCTCCCTTTGATTCACAGAGTTTGGATTGCAGCCAACTCTGACTATTAAGGGCCCTGCAGTTTGGAATGCTTTGAGTGCATTTCCTCTACACAGGCTGATTCATGCTTTACAAGACTGACCTACATGTAGCAGTCACATGGATGCAGGGCAGCCATCTCTGTACAGATAGTGTAGTGTACACTGCTAAGAACAGCTTTGAATGGACAACACACACACACACACACACAAACACAAAAAAGGAGGTTGGAGCTGCTGGGTGAGGTATATCACAAGATTGTCCTCGTTCCGTGCTGTTACTCCCCCTCCCCCCCCCTTGTACCTTCTAGAATATAGAAAACAAAATTAGGTTAACGTTAATCTTGCCGGTTCCATTAAAAATGTAGCTCACTTTTATTTTAAGGGTTTGTTTACGTTTTTAAATGCGTATCCAGACTTCTACATTCCCAGTCCAAACTTTCCAGCATAAAAAGACAGACCAAAACCAGTTCATCTTCGTGAAGTTGATTTGGTGCATTGTCCCCTTTTTCAGTGATTTGAAGTGGTCATGTCGTCTGGAGTCTGTATATGCATAATTCCACCCCTGGCAGCAGCATCTGGGTGTCAGCCAGCCCAGAACAAGAATTCCAGGCTGGCTAATGTTAATTCTGTGCTCTCAGCCAATGAAAGAGCGGCAGGGTCGCCAACCTGCTTCTGCAAATCTGCAGAAGCCGGTTGTTGCAAGTCTGCTGGACTAGAGACCAGGCTTCTGGTGAAGATGGAAGTAAGAGGGGTGCCAGGGTACTTCAACCATCAAAATCACTACAGCAGGATGGTTGGAGTAACCCTGTAAGAATATGTAACGGGTATACATAATAACAATGAGAGACACAAGAGGCGTAGAAGGTCCTTCTGAAACAATCTTCAGAAATCAAACGTTTATTATCACACCAAACTCTCTGGCAGAGTGCAATAATTTTTATGCATGTAGTAACTATGTCCCCAATGATTCTCTAAAAGAGCACTAGATTGGACAAAAGTCATCATTACTGATGACATCGCTGCAGGCAGAGCAGCTGTTACGAGGAGACTGAATTCACACTGGGCAAAAAGGTTTTATAGTGAATTTCTATTTTAAAAAGGTGGTTTAAAAAAAAAAAAAAAAAAAAGTTCTTTTAATGAAAAATCTAACAATAGGAAACCAGCAAACCCAAAGCTTATATGAATGCAAAAGTACAAAATATACCACCTCATGCGTTTGAAAATCGATTATATACCAAGCCTAGATTGTAGTATAGGCATTTGTAAAAGAAGGGTACATATATCTGACAGATACCATATAGCAAGGGATGCAAAAGACTCAACACCAATACTATTTGAATACATAACAGTGTAATGAAAATTCACAAGATATCAATGCCACATATCTCTCTCACAATCATGGCTCAAAGTTACCACTAGCCACTTTAGCGTGGAAATTCAGCAATGGCGAGGGTTAAGTGTGCTTATTGGTATCTGAAAACAGCATATTGTAATGATGACAGTATGCAGAGAGTATTTCAAAAACTGCAACAATAAGATTGCTCTCCTCCAAACACAGATAGTTGAGCAGGGACACAAAGCATAAGTAAACTTAAGGCAAATGTAATTGTTAAAGACCAACACTTGTACAAACTGTATGCAGACCAACATCTTGGCGAGTAGACGTAAAGTACATCCATCCCTAGTTAGCGACAACCAGGCCAGATTGATAAATTTATAGATTAAATAAGAACACGATAGAGTTAGGAATACATGTTTACTTATTGCAGACGCTACAGAGTTCCATTAATCTAACCTGCAGCAGGCTAAAGAAGTTTGCCACCTTCAAGTAAATGTATTCAAAGATACGTTGGGCATAACAAGCATGTAGTTTTAAAGGTTGTTTCGCAGGACTTATTTTGTAGACATGAGCTGTTTTAGGTGAATTTGTTGGGAGTAAGACAGTGGATATTTGGATAAATTCAGAAACCGTCACGTGGCACGCTCCAGACATTCAAATCAAGAATACTTCAAAATGATATGGGTCATTATTTACTAGTGCAGGTTCACACCACACCTTCCTTCCCATGATATTTGGTGGTATAAAATTACATATTTAGGTGGTAAAACACTAGGATACAAGCACAATTTGGAAGTCCATTTAGAAAGCAATTGGCCAACCTTTTGGTTCTTCCACACCGGAACACATCCATAACCCAGGCCCCATGGGGGCCTTCAAGGGAGCTTTAAAGGATGCTGGACACTTAGCACAAAGTGTTTCCGTTGCCTGATGCTTTATTGGAAGAAACAAGGGGTATAAAAAGCCCCTAAGTAATGAAGAAGCTTTCAATGAGATATGGAGCAGCTCTTTATGTGCAGTGGAGTAGGAGTGACTGGGCTTGGGATAAACTGGCTTATATATTATTAACAGTGCACCCTCAGAATACCCAGGACAAGAGCCACTAGCAGGGCAAGGAAAAGCTGCTTAACAAGCAAGCAGGTTATTATACAAAGTACAAACATGCAATTGACAAATGTACCTCCATGTATATACACACACATAGGCATTAATTGCTTAAAGTAAAAAAAAAAAAAAAAAATTATATATATATATACACATATACACACACACACACATACATATATATATATATATATATATATATATATATATATATATATATATATATACATACATACATACACCCTTGAATGAATCAACATGTTTAGAGACAACAGGTTTTAGAACCGCATATGAGCTTTTTTCTTGGCTTAGTTAGCATATGGTAATGTGAGACTAACCAAACAAAAATATATAATTAAAAAAATAATAATTTTTAAAAAAAGTAAATATAAGTGGGGTTTAGTAATCTAAAAGTGCAATGTTTCTAGATGAATGGAGCTGCACTCTTCTGCAGAAAAATTACAGTAACAGACCTGCTACAACCCACTTATTCTGGTGGATCTACTTGTAAAGTTTAACATTCTTATAATGGATATTATCAAGATTCAAGTTACATGTGAATTGATTGGCATGGCAACAAAAAAAAGGATTGGATTGCTTGACTTTCCAACACTGCATTTAGACAATATTAAGTATCTAAAAGGTATACTCGTGGAATCACAATTATAAAAGAAAAAAAAAAAAACAGAGGGTGTAGACATTTTAAGATGTCTTGCAGACACACTGGTCCAAACGGAGTGCATCTTGAAGTTCAGATAACTACATCTTCATTTTTAAATTGTCCCAATGATTTGGACAGCATAATATATAGTATGGAATGTATACACGGATCTAATGGGACGTTGTGATCCATATGTTCTATGGATACCCAAGTCACCTCCAACTAAAGCATGCACTAGTGCGGAATTATTTAAAGTCTAAATTAAATGGGGCAGGCTAAGCAGTATAGCTGCTATATGCCATTGTAGTTCATTTCAGACACAGAATGCCATCCAAACATACAAAATTTGTATTGGCTATATAGAAGTGGAATCTAGGTTTCAGCAGTATACATAGCCAGAGCAACGTCATGAGTGCCTAAAGAACCCTCCGTTTTGGTCAAAAGTGTCAATGGCACAAACCATCCTGTGAAAAATGCACAGCTAAGATAGACTTGAATACACACACACACACACACACACAAATCTTTACTAACAAGAATGTGCCAGGCACGTCAATAAGAAGACTCCCTCGAGGACTTAAGGGCATGGCATGTCTTAAAAACCCTGCAGTGCGCAGAGCCAGATAAAACTGGTTTAGCTACTACCCCAGGACCAGAACACTTAATACAGATCCCCTGCCCTGCTTTTCTACACGAGAGCTCCAATAGCAAATCTGGAATCATAAAATCAAAATGAAAACACAGAAAACAAAATAAAAATTTTGATCTAACTTCAGCACCACTATCATGGGTAATGTAACTGTAAATATCTGAAATTGTTTAAAACTTCCCCAAATGAGACATCTTCAGATTTAGAAGAGTCCACATTGTGGTATTTTACTGCAATTAAACAACCTATATGTTCAATATACTCAACCTCAGAAAAATTCTGAATAAAAACTATGACCACAGGTAAGCAATTTTTTTTATTTGACATTTGTTAGATGAGTAAAGAATTTTACTTGCTCCTAAGTTCCATAAACAATCTATTTTTGTAATGTCCTTTGGCTGCCTCTTTTTGGTACCACGGTCTACTCTTCACAGCATATAAAGTACTATCCAATTTCGTTCCAACACTTTTTTTCCTTAAAAACACGCCCCCAAACAAACGCACTTCCATACAGACCCAAAAGATGCTATTCTTGTTTTATGAAAAGTGCATAAACACAGCAAGCCTGTGTACATGATGAATTTTTGCTCCCCCACATTATACAAGAACATGGACGGCCAAAGTTATTGTACATTTTATAGTAGAGTAAAAAAAAAATAAAAAAATAAAATATATATATATATATATATATATAATTATTATTCATTTATTTTCAACACACATTATTTAAAGACTGTCAAATGTATTATAAGCCAAGGGACACAATTCAATAGTTCATATTCCTCTAATAATAATGCATAGGATGAACAGATATATGTTAAAGGATCTTTAAAACACACAAACAAAACAAAAAAAAAATTCTTATTTGATGTGCTGGCTAAGCATCCAATATTTAACATTCCCTCTGTACTTTCCACCACACTATAAAGCCCAGGTTCCATTAATCTTAAAATGTTAGTTACTCCAATCTCCATGACCACTTCTGCTTTTAGAAGTGGTCACAGAGCTAGCAATCTGTATGTGCAGTGTCTCAGCTTGAAATGCTGCCTATACATAGAAATCAGTCCTTTTGCACTGGAGTGTAGTTGCACACCCAGCACAGGCAACTTAGGCAGTTTGGAGCAGTTCCAGACAGCCTAATGCAAATCTTGACTAAAAAATAAAAGATATTGCAGTCCTCAGATTCTTCCCTTCCTGGCAGTCCAAAAATGTGTATTTTTACCCTCCTTTCCTAAAAATAATGGAAATAATTTATAGTGCAATCATAATATATTTTAAGAATACACTTTAATAATTATAGAGCTAACTTGTTGGGAACGATGTAGGGATATAGAAGATCTGAAAATGCAATGAGTACATTTGTCATATTCAAAGATCAGAATTATTTTTGGAATAACAAGATACAATTGCCTGGGGAATACGTTACAGGTTTACTAATTTTATGCAAAACTCCATCCTTAGACATTTTATAATGTACAGGGGACTTCAGTGAGTTGGGGAAGGCATTGTTGATACAGTAACAAGAATAACATGGGCATAAAACTGGAGTCTAATGAATATGTTGTGTTTATTCACACCATTGGGACCCAGAGGAATAGTGAAGGAACCAAATTTGGGCCCATGCTCCGTTAAAAAAAAAAAAAATAATATAGTTACGAAGGAAGGTTAAAAAATTAAAATCTCTTTAGTTTGGAAAAACAGCACCTCAGAGGGGATATGATAACACTATACAAATATATTCGGGGCAGTACAAACCATTATCTGGAAATCTATTCATAAACAGGGCAATACATAGGACATGAGGTCACACATTTAGGCTGGAAGAAAGGAGATTTCATCTAAGGCAAAGAAAAGGTGTTTTGTTTTTTTTTACAGTAAGAGCAATAAGGATATGGAATTCTCTCCCCGAAGAGGTGGTTTTATCAGAGTCCATACAGATGTTTGAACTGCAATTGGATAAACATAACATACCGAGATAGAATTTCTAATTAGTGGGGTAATAGCTGCTTGATCCAATGAGACATCTGACTGCTATTTTGGGGTCAAGAAGGAATTTTTTCCTAGTTTGTTGCAAAATTGGAAGCGCCTCAGACTAGGTTTTTTTGGATCAACAGCAAAAACATGTATGAGGAAGGTTGAACTTGATGGACGCAGGTCTCTTTTCAGCTATGTAACACACACTATAATATCTATATCTATATCTATATATATATATATATATATATATATATCTCTCTCTATCTCTCTATCTATATATAATAAAAAGCGAAAGCTATAACTGGACCGTGGGGGAGAGATTTACGTGTTACAAAGTGTTGAAAAGCACTAAAAGTGGTGCAATGTCCTACAACATTTCAAACAGGACAATGTGGATTATCTCACGGTAATCTCTAATTTACTGTGTGTTTATATAGTGGTTCTACCATTTAGATGACTGTTCTATTCCATTCAAAATAAGCTGGTGCAAGTCAAGGTGATTTTTTTTGTGCATCCATCCAACATGGAAATATTACTCAATATTACCATTACACACACCAAACAAAATCCCTCAAGTGGACCTATGCCATCTTCCACTCTTCTGTTATTCAACATTTTAAAAATGCACAAAACCAGGTCATGTCTTGGATGGGGCAACAGAAAGCCTACTGGCAACCCAAGAATTACCCCAAAGGTCGGAGCAGTCACTGTAACAAAACTCGGCTGCGGGTTGTAGGCAACGCCAATATTCCAAACAAAACCAACAAGTAAACCAGAAATGCTGGAACTGTTTGCAAACAAGGCATGACCAAAAGAATTGTAAAAATCAATCGGTCAACTCTTATTTCAGTTACAGCATAAATATTCCACATAATAAAAAACAAGTTACCCATTCTTTATAACATGATCCCAAATGATGCTACATGAAAACATACCGACTAGAGATGATAAACAGATAATTATATACATGTAAATACACACATATAAAGAACTCTGATGTTCAGCATCATACAAAGGATCAACAGAGGAGGATTATGAGTCACTATTCTCGCCAGGTTAGCATTACTTGTAGAGGGATAGGCAGAAACATTATCTAGTTCTGCATGTTCAAACCCAGTATCTGTCAATGCAAAGCAATATCACATATCACGGAATTAGAGAAAGACAGATTTTTATCCACCACAATGTTAAAATAAAAAAAATAAAAGGAATGTTGCAGAGAGTTATACCAAGTGTTAACCATTTCGTTCCTCTGCATTCAGATCATACAATAACGAGGGTGTTTGGCACTTGTTTACCATTATTTTCATAGTGCTAATGCATACATGTCCAATTATTATTATTTATAAAGCGCCAACAAATTCCGCAGCGTTGTACAATGGGTTCTAATTATGGCCAGGGACATTAGTACAGGACAGTATTATGCATAGAAAACACAGCAGCCAGTCTTTTCAGGGAGTTTGTGACACTGAGCGAATTGACTCATTGTTTAGAATAGCTAGGAATCCCTCAAAACGCCGTGAGCACTAACCCAGGCTGGTGGTTTAGCTGGGACCGGTTCCAGCAGCAGTCACACCTCACACTTATTGCAGAACAGGTAGGGCAACCGTGAGACCTTTTTATCTGTGCTGTGTCTGCATTTATCTTGGCGATGGATCAAACCCTCACTTCATTGTGCTTGGAGTTATTACTGAACAGAGACTTTTCAGGAATTGCATGCGATCGCTATTAACCCATTATGCAGAAAACAAGACTACAGTGCAATATAGAAAATTACATATCCATAAATAAATAAATCAGCACTGGGAAACAAGACAAACGCGCACACATATATGCAAATATACACAAAATGACAATTATTTATACAGTTCCAACAGATTACACAGCTCTGTACAATAAATTTGGAATCATGGAAAATTGACAAAAGAAACTGTAAATTTTATGCCAAAATAAATAAAATAAATAAAGTTAAGCTAAAAAATATATAGTTATATTGGGACAATTTCCAATTAGGCCATTTTAGACTCAAATTTGCATTTCTGTTAACTCATAGTTTAGTGACTAAGCACCATAGCTTAAAAGGACGCCAATTAGAAGAGAAACTCAATATGGTTTAATGCATTCTATGTTGAGAAACAGTCATCTATAGGATCAATGACATCTGTTACTAAAAGCCACAAGAATGATACAACAAATATACAGATTGTTACTAGAGACAACCAGAACTCATAATTCCAGTTTCTCTCCAAGAAAGAACTGTCACAATAGCAAAGGGATTAATCCTTAGCCTCAACACTAGAAAGGCTTTTAAAACTAATATCAACTGGAAAGCCTGCCTTACAAAGCAAAGGGGAGGGCTAATAAATCATTGCAACTGCATATCTGATACAGCAAGGGACCTACCTCTGAATAATAAAGGGGCAGTTTGTGCTGACCCACTGGGGTCAAACTGATTTAAATAATTAAACTTGGAACTGTCAGCCATCCCCTGTAAATAATAGCCCTGAAGACATCAGGATCAGATTGCTAGTGAAAAGCTGGCCCCTTGCAGGGCTGCAATTTATCTCCTTTTTCTAGTCTCCTTTGTATTGAGAGGCATCAGGAAATGTGCCATCCAAGAGGTCTTTCCCCAACACTCTGCCCTGCAACACTTTGCATAACAAGATAAACAATGTAGAGTGAGTCAGGAAAAAAAAAAAAATTCACACACACTGCCAAAGATACCTCTTAATGAAGAAGAAAAAATAAAAGTAGTTGCCATTGAGAAATAAAAAGAACTCCCAATTACAAGTGTATATTACTGCAACAGAATACATTAAGTATACTATCGCAACAGTAGTTTCTGAGTTCTGATTAGATGTACTTTTATACCTGGCAGGCCAGTGAATTCTACAAATTAGGTTTTGAGATGATATATGCATTACATTCTGTTGAAGAGATAGGAAATAAATAATATGATGTAACAAGTTGTGGACCATAAAATACTATCCAGAAGCTATAAAGACATGGTCATTTTTACTCTAGCATGGTCTAGTATCTCGTTCTCAATTAGCCAAAAACAGAAAACTACTTGCTCAGCAAACTGTTCTGACGGAGGTCTATCTACCAAGCTAATTGGCAAACCTCTCAAGTTTTTAAAATGCCCTGTTTTTTTTTTACAGGGCCCTGTTTGCTCAGGAATGGAAATTCCTTGCTGGCAGTATGCAAATATGAAAGCTAAAGTCTTGTTTTTTTGAAAATAGAAGAAAAATGCCAAGTGTCATAAACTGTAATTTCAACCAGGTTTCTACCTTCCAGCAGAGCCAGGGGCATGGAGCAATGAGTACGTTTCCTTGCATGTTACATTCCAGATGCATGCTAAGCCACTCACAACCAAATCTATATATATCCATCAAAGGTTTAGCCAAAGCTCTCACTCCCAGGTATTTTCACCTGAAAAAGAATGCAGATCATCTGAGCAGCCGAATGCAAGGCAATTGCTCTATTCCTGTGGTGCCAAACCATGGCTCTTCAGATAGCCTATTATAACTCCGGTTTAATTTTTTTGCTGGCTAGGAATTTTGGTAATTGTAGAAAAAAAAAAAAAATGTGCAAAGCATGCTTCACAAACCCCTACTTAGTAGAATATGAAGAGGTCTATGAATTGCAACTAGTAAGTGTAAAACACTAAATTTAATGCAGACCTTTTATAGTGATAGGCTACTTTACTTCCAAAGAATAGTCTGTTTATAAAAACAGGGGTTTCCCAGTTAAGGCTATGCTACCATCTAATTCACAGCAGAAACGTAGTTAAAGGGGTAAGCTATACATTCTTATCGAATATATTTCTGCAAGATGAACATGTAAAAATATAGTATTTTGACCCCATATGTATTCATGAAAGTGGCAGTTGTAGGTTATGTTTATAAATTAATCTTTCTTTACGTTCCTCTACTTCCTTTGCGTTTTTTGTTTGTTTGTTTTTCAAATTCATCCTAGTTGTTAGTTATTGATAAGTAAAGGCTACTTTTTCTTATTGAGAGCGTGATCATTGTCAATGGGCGGAGCCTAAGCAAAGCTCCATTTCAATTGCCAAGGTAATTTACCCACAATCCATCAGTCAACAGAACCCCACAGAAGGGCAAACTGCAGACATCGTGGACAGAGAAAAACAAAATGGAAGTATCCATCCAAGAATATTACATCTAAATAAAATCAAGTGGCAATTGGGGGTTGAGTAGTATAATTTGATAATATCAAGCCATAAGGATATGAAAAAAAAAAAACAAAAAAAAAAAAACACACTTTTAAAATTATTTTTTAAAATCACAGATAGATAAAAAGGTCTCACTGTTGCCATACCTGTTCTTAAATCTCCCCAAAGATCCAGTTTGAATGCTGGTTTGCTATGTCGCAATCCTCAGTACATGGTTTAATTTGCAATTATTGAAAGGAAGGGTGGGCAAAATAATAAACTGGGACTTGTAGCACTTCTTAAAAGAGCAAAGAAGACTTCACGTCTGTCAAACTGCAATCTGATTGAAATATTCTGTCATTCATAATAGATTGGCACATAAAACCTGATGCCCTATCAATATTTGCACAAATCATAGAACAGCCAAGACGGAAGACAATGCTATATGCCTCCCTTTGAGTGGATTTCCTAAAAACGTTGAACAGAATACCAACATTCTAGTAACTATTTCGTAAACAAAAACAAAAACCTAGAAAGTAACAGTTGTGTAAGGATTAAATTGTGTGGCTTAATCCAACAAACATCTAGTAAAGTTCAGAACGGAAATCAACTCTCGCTCTGGCAACAAAACATGCAGAGCTTATTCATTTTAATTCCATAGTGGAGCAGGTCTCTATCCATACAACACATGCGTGAGAGGCATGAAGATTGCCTACGTAGCAATAAAAAAAAAAAAAAAAATTTATATATATATATATATATCTCACACCCATTCCAAGGTATGAAAGAGACTGGAGCTTGTAACATAATATCATGTCGAAAGCATTAGAGTCACATGAAAACCCAATAAAACTATATAATTAAGATGCCACGCACAATCTTATGGTAGCAGGTGACCAAAAAATAAATAAATTTTTTTTCATTTTTTTTTTTATTTTTATAAAGGAGGTATAGGAAAAAAAAAGTCATCTTTAGAAGTGTCTTGCCAGCAAGGAAGAGTTAAATGCCTTAAACTTACTCGAGCATTTGTCATTACTTTCGAAAGGGGGTTAATACATGCACACATTGAATTTACCAGTGTTAGACTAATGGTGTTACTGAATACTCACACATTCAACACAAAGCTGATGCTATCATACAGGCAAAGTACAGAAGCATAACAAGTCATGACACCTCTTACAGCGTCAGAATAGTAATAAATTATATTAAAAACACGAGGTGATTGTATAGAATAGGTACCGTATTACAAAATAAATCTACATTCACCCAAGAACAACACTCAAATCAGCAGTTAAAATAATTATATATATATATATATATATATATTAAAAATATATATTTTTGGGGATATTAAATTATTTATATATCCCCTTGCTGGGGTAAAACAACCCCATAACATTGAACGCTATCAGTTTTTTCACAAACACAAGTGGGGTCTTAACTGGCAGCAGAAACTGATTAGGATATCATCTGCTCCCTTCTCCACACCCACCATGCACACCTTCTATAGTATCCACACAATATACCACTTACCCTCCCCCCTGCTTATAACCCAAGGTTTAACCATACCAACCCTTTATGTGCTTGCCCAGCCATACCACAAGCACCCCGTGTTGACACAAACCTTTAAGGGGCACATACATGCATACAAGTACGGATCTCCCCAACGTGGACAAAGCCCCCACCTCCTGTTAATACATAGTGTTGGCCCCTGGCAGCCCCTCTCCCAGTACATGCATTGCAGTCCATACACACAGCTGCACCCAGTGCGGGCACTATTAAAGCGCACCCCCCCCCCGACACACACACTCCAAAAATCACCCATACACCCCATGGTACCCCCATGGCTTGGAAATGATTTAGTGGAACATGCTCACCTTGAATGCTCAGCGCACACCATATCCCCCCCACCTCCAGAGTGTGCCCCCCTCCTCTTTACTATGTACCCCCTAAACATTAAACTGCACATGCCGACTGCCAGTGCCCCCTAGCACGCTTACTACCCCCGCCTCCTCCGCCCGAGAGGCCACGGTTCCTGCTCCATTACCTTACTGCATGTGAGTGGCTCTGTCAGCGCAGCCCCGAGCTCCTCATCTCACAGCCGCCCGGCCGCCATCTTCCAGCGTGACGTGGGGACTCACCCCTGACCTGCAATATGAACAGGAGCCAGGGAGCGATGGGGAGAGGGAGGAGGGCACAGGGGGAGAGCTAGTGACACACTGAGGGAGGAGATAGAAACACAGGAGGGCGGAGGGAGGGCACCAGGGAGAGAGCGAAGGCAGGGCGGGTACAGGGAGGTGGGGGATGGCACAAGGAAGAGAGGGCTTGCATAAGGAGGAGGGGAGACTGGCACAAGGAAAAGCAGAGACTGGCACAAGGAGGGGGTATGGCATAAGGAAGAGGGGTGGCACAAGGAGGGGGTATGGCATAAGGAAGAGGGGTGGCACAAGGAGGGGTATGGCATAAGGAAGAGGGGTGGCACAAGGAGGGGTATGGCATAAGGAAGAGGGGTGGCACAAGGAGGGGTATGGCATACGGGAGGGGGTATGGCATAAGAAAGAGGGGTGGCACGTGGAGGAGGTGGCACATAGAGGAGAGGGCTGGCACAAGGAGGATGGGAGTATGGCACTAATGGGGGGGTGGGGGGGGGGGAATCGATAGCAGGAAAAACCCAATGAGGGGCACTGGGTTAATGCAGAGGGTAATAAGTAAAGGAGTGGGTGGTATCAATGTATGGAGAGGTATTAAAATATCTGTAACTGCCCTCTTATAGTGCAGGGAATTCATTCTAGATTTGCCATGAATGATATGTTTGAAAACGTGTTATTCCAATACATATTTTAGAAGCAAAATAAAAAAATGCATGGTAGAAACCCAGAATCTAAATGTACGCATAAAGGAAATGGAATCACCTAACTAGGAGTCACGTGTTCTTAGCAATGATTATCCCAACGAATGCTTCTTTTGCAGGACATTTATTCAGAATTAATTGTAGCACTCGATTGGAAATTCTTAAATAGGTAGACACTCCACATTTCTATCATTTAGTAATTTGCCACCATACACGGTCAATGTATATGTGATAGATGAATGCATACAGCATCATATACAGTCCAGAAGGCACAGGAAATCTCTTGGGTAATTGGCTACAACGTACTATTCCTCATTGCTCAATTTTATATTCAAACCTACAGATTTTTTTTTTCGCATGCAGCAGCTGGGGCCCCAATTTAATTGTATTTGCATGTGGGTTATATACATTTTGTGACACTGTGGCAGGGTGGGGGCAGTGTCCTTGTGTGTAAAGATGGTTTGGCATTGGTGCATAACAAGTACAGGAATGATCTACCACAAAGACCTCGCCCACCCCCCTTAATGGGCAAGTCTGTACGCCTCCCTGCACTAAGGATCAGATGTCAGCCATATACCAAGATCTGTGGTATAAACACACTAGGTTTACTGTGCCAGTAATGACATACCACTGTTGGAGTATTGTAGGTTCTCTGCAGCAAGGTCTCAAGCTACTCTATTTAATTAAAATTATTCGGTGTACATGTTCATATTTATTTTATGATGCTTATATGTGAAATATTATGTCACTCTGCAAAAAAAGTTATATCATTCAAACATAGAGTAAAGAACATTTAGGTAGTTTAATATATCAGCATGTTTTAATACACTGATGTTCCAGTCTCTCTAAATGCTAATAATTTGTAACTTATTTAACATATTAAACTATACATTTGCTGAGGTTATGATTGTGTTAAGCAATCAACTTTACATATGCATATCTACAGCATTTCATAAAGAAATATATTATATATAAAGTCAGTTGCCTCTTTAAGAGATACATCTATTCAATAAACAACCTTTTTATACCCAGAACAGCTTGAATTCTGCATAGGGCTCAGTAAACATTATAGGGCTTTTGATTCATGCTGACGTGATAGCATCACATATTCTTTTTTAGAATTTTGGAAACACAAATAATGCTGTGAATTTCACAGAAATATCCTCTTGAATTGAAATATGGGGAATGTGTTTTTCTTTGGAGTAAACAGGAGCAACTGTCATGCAAATGGAAACAACTTGAGATGATGTGTGCTTTGTGACATGGAACATTATCCTGCTTGAAAATGTAGACTGTTCTAGAAAATGTGTGGCTATAAAAGTAATCATAACGTTGTTATCTTTCAAAATGAATAGGCCATTTGTTTTTAACCATTGGGTCAGCACCGACATTTGGAACAATCAGTCCAGGGATGCACATGACTAACAACATTTAGTTAGGCAGTCACATTCAAATGTTGCTTATTTGTTAATATAGACTAATATAAAAACGTCCCCATAAAAACAAACCCCTTTAGATTGCCCAGTGGACTTATGACACAAGGCAAGATACTGTAATTTCGCCAATAGCCAGTAGTCCTGTTTTCCTGCTAACATGTCTGCTGTTCTCATCTTCTTGTTCTTAGCTGGTTGTAGTGGAATATGCTATGGCCGTCTGCTGCGTTAAGCCCATTCACTTGAAGAATCAGAGCTGTATGTTTTTAGAGATGCCCTTCAGAAAGCCATTGTTATAAGAAGTGGTTTTTATTGAGTATTTGTGGCCTTTGTTGACTTGAATGATTCTCAACAGTTTTTGGTGACCTCTCACAACAACAGAGTGTTTTCCCCCAGGGAATGACTGCTTGGTAGATGTTTTTTATTCTATTTTTGTGAATTTTGAGACTTTGTTGTGATTAAAAACCATGTTCAGTCAGCGTTCCCAGGGATACTACAACCACTATCTCTTGTACCAACGATCATACTATAATCAACACTGCTTCTGTCATGCAACAGCCCAAATCTAATGAAATTACACCTCATGAACACCTCTGCCTGCATTGTAGATTAAATTCAGGAACATGATTCAGTGTTTAGCTATTTGCATTAGTCAAATGATCAGTGTGTATTTCCCTTCGATACTGGTCAATAATTTATAAAAGTATCCTTTAAAACCTAAAACTCAAAATAGATTGTAGTTCTGAAGGATATCATAATTATCTTTGGTTACCGGAATCTTTGTTCCCTCAGGAAATTAAGCAAACCTTTATTCCATCAAACAAATAAAGGGCCATTCTAGAGAGGATGGAAGGTGTCTCAAGTGGGGTACTTACCTGTCTCACCATTTCAAATTTTGGCACCATTTCATTGTTGGTGCCAAATTCCCTGTTATACTGAGAGAGAAAAGGCACCCCAATTATATCATTTGTGACAATGCCACCTGAACGTACCATATTTGGAGAAAGTTATGCACAATTAAACACAATGTGAGGGTACTGCTGTAGGTGCAGAATTTGAATGGGACGATCGCTAAATACAGCATGGCTTGGGGTTGAGGTTGGTCTAAGAGTATGGTATAGAGGCTTAAATGGTTACTCCAATCACCATGACCACTTCTGCTTTTAGAAGTGATCATGGCTTTTGGAGTTATTATATGCTGCATTTCTGCTTAAAACGCTGCTGCACATGCAGAGATATCTTCATTTTTATGACGGGGTATATTTGCACACCCGGCACACGTGAATTAGGCAGTCCACGCTGCTTATGTAAAATCTGTGCAAAAATTATGCACCGACGACAGACTTAATGAGCTTTGTCCTTGCAGACAGCACCTGCAAAGGGTAGCATGTATCTCCCCTCCCTCCCTTTTCCAAGACAACCCCCGCCCCCCAGCTTCCTATACACTTAATGTTCCTACGTTTTTTTATTTTTGTTTTTTAGTTTACATTTTTCCATCATCCATCTCTCCCTCTCTCTGTCCTTCCCCACTCCATCCCCTGCATGCGCATGTGCCCTGAGCCAGTTAAACAGTCCGATCAAATGCGTCTCTATATGTAGGAGGGGCAATTACATTTCTCCCTGGGCTGAACCCCTTAGTCTTTTTGGAACTTTGCAACAACCCTGAGCAAACACTTCAGACTGCATACATATATGTATATGGCACACAAAAAATTAAAATTTAGTCTGGCTATGAAGGCTCATAATCGGTGCTGGAGCATTTTATTTATGTGTGTTTGAATTGAAGGATGTGTGTATGTCAGCAGCAGGAAATAGTTTTCTTATCTATTGTGATAGTGGAACAAAGAGGTCAACAGATCTCAAAATTAAAGAAAATGCAACATAAACCTATAAAACAAATTCCATATACACTGCTAACTTATTGACAAACTGCTATTATAACAATAATTTTTTTAATTTTTAATTTTTTTTTTTTCTGAAAAAACAAATAAAAAGTAATTCTGGAGTAGCAACTCTATTGGGTTGCAATAACACTTTCTGTGCCAGTATGACATTACAATAGAAAGTTAAAATCAGAGCTGAATTATTGTCAAAAAAACATCTTCCTCAAGGAAAAGCATCAGTACTCCACATTCCCTAAAACCATCACACTTCAGTCCCAGATGTTGCTTCAAACAACTGAAATGCCATCTGTTTTGCAAAAGGGGAAAAAACTATTGCAGGGATGTGTGGAAGCTGTTTTGAAGCTGGGGGAGTGTTTTTGAGAGCACACCAAAGGATGCTAACTTGAATGGCCTCAAAATGTACTGTTGCTTGGTGCAGGAAATGAAAGGGTTAATGTCACTTTGTCTGCAATTTCACTAGGGAGTCAAGCATTCTGTAAAAAAAAAGGAAACGCAGAGGGGTAATTTGTAATCATGCAAATTAGAATGTCCAAGAGGGAAATAAAATAATATGAAAATGAATTGCTTCCTCATATGTTCTGCGGCTTTAATTCTTAGAATGCAAACGTCTTAAAGGTGCAGTGACTCACTGAGTCGATCTATGAAACATCCTGCCCTGATATTAAGGCACAGAGGGGGAACACTAGTTGGATTTAATGCTGCGCATTGGTTTTGGTATTTTTTAATGGGTTTGAATATGTACAAAGTAACACTGGATGCCCTGAAATTAAACGATATGAATTTACATCCTCTGCATTCTATAGTCGAATATTTGCTTTGTAAATGACCATAGCCTTTTATTAAAGACACATCAGCACATTTTCTGCCAGGATGCACTGCAAAAGATAAGCCACCCTCCTGACCCTGCCCATACACTTGCTCACTTTAGTATTTAAACAGGTAACAAAACAATGATTTTCCACTCAATTGAAAAATTACAACTTCAACAATGTGCTGGAATATTTGCATGCTTATTTGTATCACCGGCCAGTTTATACTGCAGGCATTCCTACCTATATTTCTTCGAAATGGCATATACTGCACAATAAGAAAAAAAACAAAGCAAAACAAAAAATGTCATAATCACATTAAAGGGACTCTATTTATTCCCTTAACATCCTTATTATTTTATATTTTGAGAATCAAATCTGGTGAAAACATACATATTACATTCACTGGAACGGAACAAAGCAATAGAAAATATATTTAAAACAAATTTTCTAAATGCTTTTTTTTCTTTTTTTACATGTAAATTTATAAAAATAAATGTTAATGAAAAAATAAAAAAAGAACTAATATCCACACTCCCATTGTACTATATTGAAGTGGTACAATTGCTGCTTTAATATTGGCTTAAAGGATCACTATAGTGTCAGGAAAACAAACTAGTTTTCCTGGCACTATATAATCCTTAGGGACCCCCTCCCCTGGGCTAAAGGGGTTAAAATCCCTTCAGCCACTTACCTTTATTCAGCGCCGGGCTCCCTCAGCGCTGGTGACCTCTCCGTTCCCTCCGACGTCAGCTCCCTAAATGCTTTCCTATGGACGTTCCGCTTGCTCAATGCGTTGCGGAAGCGCCTCTAGCGACTGTTAGGAAGACAGCCACTAGAGGCTGGATTAACCCTACAACGAAAACATAGGAGTTTCTCTGAAACTGCTATGTTTACAGTTGTAGGGTTAAAACCTGGGGGACCTGGCACCCAGACCACTTAATTGAGCTGAAGTGGTCTGGGTGACTATAGTGGTCCTTTAAAGGGACACCTTAGGCCCTAAAATCTTCGACTTAAGTCAGTGCTTTATGTGTGAACAGTGTGTCCACTTTTTTAGTTTTCAGACAGTGCAGATTTCAATAGAAACTGATACTTTTATAAATTAACCTTGTTACATCCCCCTGGCTGTCAATCAGACAACCGGTCCTGTTACTCTCTGGTATTTTAGGTCAGTGGAGCTAAACTCAGGGTGCAGGCAATTGCTCAGAGCACCTGCATTGTAAAGACATCTCATTGAGCTGCATTGGGAAGTCTGTGATTGAACAGCCAAAGAAAGTGTAGGTGTGTTAAAAGGGGGGTACTTGCAGAGGCAGCAGACAATATTCCGCTTTTGCAAATTGTTTTCAAGTATACCCCAAAAGCAGACGGCCACAAAAATCCTTATTAATTTTCATTATGGTATATCTACTTAACAGTGATTTTTATTTTTGTATTTGGGCAGTGGAGTGTCCCGCTGAATAATTAAACTATTTCCATCTTTTTTAATTGTGTCCTTTGCCTGGTTGTTTAATTCTCATGGTGCCATGTGTGCACAGAGCGTACGTCACTATGGAAAGAATGCGTGCAATCATATGTCCCTCTCCAAGCAAATGTCCAAGTGCGCCTGGAATATCAAGGGCCAATTGCATCACTCACACGAGAAAGTGATGAGGTGGTAAGTGTATTTTCTACTTACTTTTGCAGCACATCATACCAAGTTAAATGCATAGCCTTTACTGGGGTTAAGCTTTGAGGAACTGTCATTTTCAGAGAACTGAGTTTCTTTTTAACATAAAGCTGTAGCATTTATTTGAAACATGAGATTCATAAACATTACATCTTTTTTTCCCCGCCTTCTAGAATCACTAAATACATACATCTATTTTTTCCTCAAAATATTTTTTTTTAAACATTTTTGATTGTTTATAGTTGAAGGAACGCTGTCCAGTTGTGTAATTTGGATTTGTGCTGCCGTAGGCACAACTAAATCGGGCACCCCCCAATCTAAATCTGCACCACGTTTCCTTGTCAAGGCTGCACCTCTTCCTGTTTAAGACCAACACACACTTTGACAGACAGACACACTCCCTCACTGATACATGCACTGACATACACTCACTGACAGATACACAGTCATTGGCACACACGCTGTTTAACCAACACACACACACACAGTCATACACACACTCACTGACAGACACACACATTCCCTGACACATACGCTCCCTGACAGACAGGCACACTCACTGACAGACACACACACTCACTCACAGACACACATACATTTACTGACAGACACACACACATACACTCACTGGCAGACAGACACACATTCCCTGACAGACATACTCACTTACTGACAGACGCAAATTCACTGACAGATACACACTGATACTGACACACACACCTTTTCTCATACACACTCCTACGTTTGGGAGAGATAGAGTGGATTCTTTCCCTGCGGTCCAGTTTGGATCCTGTCCCTGGGGTCTACTGTGGCTGCTGGGCGCATGCACACACAATGGAGGCAGTGAGGAAGCAATAATCTTCTTGCACTGCTCTCTCATGTGCTGCTTAATAATGCCGGGGCTGGAGTGACATCATATTCCAGCTCCCAGCATCACTGCAGGGTGCGCAAGAAAGTAGTGCAAGAAGAGCACTGAGATCAGTGCTTCCTCGCTGCCTTGTCTGCAGTATGGACAGCCGAACTCTTTGGGGGAGCCCTAAGGTCGTCAGACAGCCAGCTCTTGGGCCCCCCATGACGCTAACAAGGCATTTGCCAGGGCGTTTGGGGTGGAGTTTTTAGCCAGACCCTGGAAAGTGCCATTCAAAGCAAATGCCTTCTTTGCCTTGCAGTAAATACAGCACTGCTCTAGGCACCATAACAACTTCATTGGAATAAAGATATCCAGGTCATGGACCACCTTACAGCACTAGTGAGAGACACCATGAAACTATACGAAAAGGTCTGGGAACCTTGGATAACAGGGAACTGGGAGAGCTATGGAAATCCCACTACAGGGCCTTCCCACGGTGCCAACACTTAACAAGACACCAACAGAGCCTCACACCGCAACGCTCCGGACTCCGCCACGGGGGCCCTCACCCCTCCTCCCCTCCCCCCCTCCTTCCTTGCCCCTACCTTATATACAACACCGTTGCTGGAAACGGGACCAAGAATGTCAGTACCTAACCGCACAGGGCTAAGGTCAATATTAAACAGGTCCCCCTGCAACGAGAACGGTCTCACATTTAATAACACAGATTAATATGGGCTGAAACCAGAGCTTGACATTTGCGGTACTTAAAATACCCAGTTATGGCATGTTTTCTTCTCTCTTTTTTCTCTTTTTCCTTTTTATTGTATAATGCTTACAATTTCTCACAAAATGTATGTATGTATGAAAATGTATGAAAAATGACACTCACTAGCACATTCTTCCAAACTGAACACAATCACGCGAACTGTAACGATGGTATAATCAGATGTAAACTGGATTACGGATTGGTTACCTATACCATGTAATACATGTGTTTCTTCATTATTGTATCGCACTGTCATGCCAAAAATAAAGAATTAAAAAAAAAAAAAAATTACAACTGCATTACAAATTACATGAAAATTACAAAATTATATCCATCCCCGTCACTCCACCAATTTTAGGTGCTTTGATGATGGCAAAATCACTCCAACTAAATGTACAACAATCCTAAAAATACAATAACCCTAAATATACAAACATATATAAAGCCTTGCACACTGTATTATCAAATAGAAAAATATATAAATTAATGGAAATGCTTGTACAGGAAACCTTTATTTTCTTATAAAGTAAGGAATACAAAACTAAATTAAATAAGTGATGCATCCTCTTGGGGGGAACCTTGGATTGCAATGCTCCTTAGTGAAAAACCCCTGAAGTGAAAACAAAACTATATAACACTAGTGATGTACCGAACGGTTCGCCAGCGAATAGTTCCTGGCGAATATAGCGTGTTCGCGTTCGCCACGGCGGGCGAACATATGCGCGGTTCGATCCGCCCCCTATTCGTCATCATTGA